AATGCACCTTCCACCTTCAAGCATAAGGGTTTCCATACATGCATGAGGCACAGCATGGTTGCAGTAGTGAGTTCGACACCAAGAACTAAGATATTTTCATCTGTCACCTCAGCAAATAGCTCAACATCTTTTTTATTTGGCAGACTTTTACATTGGTTGGACGCAACCTCCAAAGGCATTTGTCCCTCCCCCTGGGAATTTAGGTAAGTTTTGTCTATCGTTTGTCAGTCTTCTGGTGTGTAAACAAACCTTTGTCAGTTTTCCAAAACCAAAGGTGATATCTGTTCAGTTAGTACTTAGATAAAGGCAGGAAAAATGAATCTGACAAGTTTCAACCAACATTTTTTACCACTTTTTGCAGAATAACCTAAATTCTAAATAAGAATAAAACAAGGCAAACAGGTCCCTGTAAGTAAGCTCTGCTGTACTCGTATCACATGGTTTCTGATATTAAATAACAGCAAATTAAAAACAAAAACAAGGAAAACGCTTCTGGTTTAAAATGCTCACTTTCCTCTCTCACAGGCGCTCACATCCTCGGCTGTTGTGACACCAGCTTTGACTGATGCTCACCAGAAAGACAAAAACCACACAAAGCTCTGCAAGCAACCAGATACATTTAATTAGATAATTGCTGTTGTTTCTTTTTCCACCTGGAGACTGGATCGCTGCATTTTTACAGTGCTGGTGAAGAGAAAAGCAGTAAGGAATATGATTCTCTTTGACCCTGGATAAAGCTGTAATTTCATCCAAAGGAGACAATCAAGCATCAGGATTTAAGTCGCACTGCCCATGAGCTATTCAGGTTAGACGGGCAGCGGTGGCAGCCTGAAGGGTCCTCAGTGTCGAGGTATTGTAGTCGAACCCCCACGTGACCGCACACTGATACACTGCAATAACAGCTACAGTGTTTTAGAAGGAAAACCTGCAGCACGACTCTGTGAAGGGAATAAGAAAAAGGCCTAAGAGAAACTGAATACTTGTTGCTAGTGAGCATGAATCACACCATAAAGGCAGTAAGGAGGAACAGCCTGCACACGCTTCTTTTAGATTATAAAACCTGAGGAGAGGCTGGTAGTGAGGGAAGATGTGCTGCAATGTGGGAGGTGATGATTCAGATACTGATTAACACGAAATATTTTCATTTTTTTGGGACTCTGTGAAGATTCGGGGTTCAGCATCTCACCCAAGGACACCTCAAAAATTGAAATCAAAATAATTAACCACGTCATTAATACACAACCCACAGTGTAGCTGTGGATATTGTAAACAAGTGGTAAACGCGTCCCAGTCCCAAGTATTTTTTTTTTTAACTGTGTTGTTTCCATTTCAAAGTGACCTTGTTTTGGTCCCCTTAAAATGGCACAGTGTCTCACACCGTTTAAACATTGGAACATTTTTTAATGTTCTACTTTGACTAAAGTATGGGTTCCTGACATCTGCAAATCATTGCACTCAGTTTTTATGAACATTTTACACAGCAGCCCAACTTTTGTGGAAATTTATTTGTAGTAAAATGATACGATACTATCACCACACTTTGCTCATGATACGATGATATTAAGATTTTTAACATTTTGTGCGTTTTGCAATAACATATATTGTGATTTATCACATTTTCTTTTACTTGAAATTATGTAGTTTAAGTAAAATATTGTCAATATCTGTTTAAACATGCTGGCAATCTGTCTACATTTGTAGGGTAGAAAATAATTACTTTCAAACTTTTGTCAATTTCTCCAAGTGACTGCAGTCAGTCCAAGTAAGACCTTTTGCAAAAAGGTTGACTCCTATCAGATGATCCGTGCAATCAAAAGTGCAACACCTTCAAGATCTGGGCAACCATTTAGTCACAAGTTACGATCAGTCGCAGCACGTGGAAAAATTCACAACAATCACCAACAGATTCCAGGAGGTTGCTCTCCTATTTTTACTTGTGTAACTGAGCCATCAGCTTGCTGTCAATCGGGAGGTAGCTTTGTCAAGTTTGCTCTGCTAATGTTATCTCGGGAAGGTAGTGCACTGTTATTCATGGTATTTCCAGAGTGCAATTTATTTAATAAAATATAATATTTAATATTAATATATTTAATATTGTAAAATATAACATTCAAATTTGTTATACCCCCCCACCCAAGTATAACTATTGATGACAATGATAAAGTACTAATTGCTTTTAGCAGACTTACCTTTACCTTCCTATAGAAGCAATAAGAGTGAACGTTTTTTCACAGCACTGCAGTGAAAACTGGAGGTTACAGCTCCAAGAACAGTTTTCATATGAAGGAAAACTGTTGGACTTCACTGGCCTGGTACAGGCCAAAGGCTGAAACAAAGCTGCTCTTAATCCTACAACTGTTGCTGGATCTTTAACCTCTTCAGACTTCATGTTCTTATTGGGACACCTTGGAAGTATTAAGTTGTGCCAGAATCCTCTTCTCCATTTCTGCCAAACATTCATTTTCACATCTACATGCACCAATAAGGAAAATAAACACTCAACATTTTAAAGGTTTTGTGTTGTGAAACCTTAAAAGTTCATCAAACAGCTAATAATTTTATCTTTAGCTACAAAGATTCTGACTTAAGATGCAGAAAGACAGTGCTGCGGAGTCATTTCAGCCAAACAATCCTTCAACGGGATACAGAAAATCCCCCCCCCCCAAAAAGCAAAACAAAACAAAAAAACCCAATCAAAGTACAAATCTTTATACTAAAACATGAAGTAATCGGCTTCCATAAAGAAAATACCCTTATCCATAACTAATAATAACCCTTCAACTTCCGTCAATAAGTCTCTATTTCGAACAAACCAGGCATACAATCGACTTTTTCACGTAATAAATGTTTTATAAATGTCTTTACATTCTCAACATGTTTTCCTGTTAATGTTTAACTCATGTAGCTTTGTGAAAAAGAAGACTGAGTGTCATGTTATAGGCAGAACAAGGCACATCATACATTCATACAGTGAACTGTCTTTCAACTGCACTCAGACAAAGTCTGCACACGAAGCATGCCACACTTAAAAACATCTCATTTCCGTCAGATACATGATTAAAAAATCATCAGCTTGCATGCAGGATTACACAACAGTTTGGTGGATGTGCGTTAATACAGCGTTAATTCAGGTCTTTGCTCTCGACCTCAAGCACAGAAACAAAACAAACTTCAACCTTATAGCCAGTAAAAATAACTCATAGTTCCTTTGAAATCCTGTTTTTATAAGAGCAAAGAGCAGAATGACACGGATAAAAAAAAGAATAAATAATTATAAAAAATATACACGAGGAGATCAGAGTGACAGCGTCCTCAAACAGTTGCGCTGAAGATGGAAACCTCGTCATGTAAACCTCAGTAGTGCAATAGATGGAAAACACAGCAGATCCCAGATGAGCCTAAAAATAACTCATCTGAGAGGAAAAAAACCCAAAAACCTGGCTGAAGAAATACTTTAAATATGCTGAGCGTCACCTGACTTGTGTTTTTAACAGATCAGAGAGGACACGCAGAAACTATCACTGAGGTTTTGTCTAAAGGTCCAACACTTCCTACCAGGAAGTTTCCTTGAAGAAAAAATTATTTTTTTAAAAAGGAAATTTGGTGCTAAATAAAATAAAAACGTTCTCTTTTTTTAAAAAAAGAGCGGCTCCATTTAAACACTATATTTTTTTTTCCTTTCCACTGTCACCAAGTGCTTACTCATAGGGGGTCGTTTGATTGGTGACTGGATTATTAGATGGATTATAGAGTGTTTACTGTATAAGATACCGTTCTTGTGATTTTGCGCTATTTAAAACTAAATGAAAACTAATAAATAAAACTAAATTAATTACAGCAGTGACAAACTATCACTAATTATGTCCTCAATATCTGTCAATCTCAGTATGCTTTGAACAATAAGATACAGTTGTCATTAAAATCTGCTATAAATATTTCCGTAAGACAGAGTCAATTTGCTCTCAGTCTGTTTTTCTCGTAATATATTAACTGTTAAAATAAATGAAAATCACATATCGGTTGTATTTTAATTTTCTAATAAAGTACAGATGTTTGGTGTCCCTGTATCAATACAACATCAGCATACAAAATGCTGTGATACGACAATGTATCGATTCTTCCCGCTCTACATTTAATGGATATATATTGGATACACAAATGGATGTTGTTTGATTGTATTTGATTCATGTGGACATTTTGCCCCAGCGGAACTATAACTTTAGAAACGGACAATCAAGACCTCACCAATTAAACGTCTCTGGCAACGCCTCGGTAGCAAAACTGGTTTAAATTGCCACTACAATTACCAAATACCCGCTTTCTTCATCTTCAGCCTCGCATATTCGCCTCTTCTGGCTGAAGTGGCACATTCAAGTTCTCTTTTCTTTTTAATTCTGCTGCCTGCATCCTGTCAACCATTTATTCATATACGAGTAGACTGATACAGCTAACGTACGGTGACTAAACAACAGCTAGAACGGGCGTCCTGAAAAGGTGAAAGCATCTTCCTCAAGCAGCTGCTAAAACCTTTTTTCACTTAAAAAAGGGTGATTATTTTTGAGAAACGTAAATGAAGTGCTCTTTTTTCAATACTTGGAACCAAATTGCTTTTTTTTTTTCTTCTTTTTCTAGGAAACTTCACATTTATCTGTAAATTGTGTTGCGTGATGCAAAGCCACCTGAAGATGGTATTTACACAATAATCAGCGTCAATCAAGGAGTGCTGGACAAAGAGAACGTCAAAGTATTAAAAGTGCTGCGTAAAAAGACAGTATAAAATGTTGTGTGTGTGGTCTGAGGCACCAGATGTTAAGACTTTGGACATAACAGATGAAATAAACAGACACATCTCAGCCTCAATCATTAGATACCGTTTCACCCAAAACACACAGGAGTGCTTGATTTGTCCAAATTCATCCGGCTGCATGCTTGATTGCAATATTGTCATTCAAATAGCTCCATTTGCATCTTTTTTTTTGTGTCATCACCACCTTTAAAGGTTGGGGTTTTTTTGGCATCCAACTCAGACTCCGCCCCCGCTTCGGTCCACCGACACCGGTTCCCTCTGATCCAGAGTCTCCTCTGCAGTTTTCATCAGAATGGCCAGGCGGCTGTCCGACACGTGTCCCTTCTTCACGGCGCTCATCAGCTGCGGAGGAAACAGGAGAGAACAGAGTACGTGGCGTGTAGGACAACGGCGGGAAAGGTTAACCTGTCAAAGCGAGGCGGGCCGCTTTCCTCGGGCAGAAATAATTATCTGCAGGACGAGGAGGAAACCGCCTGCCTGGCAGTGAAAGGCTTTAGAGCTCAGCTCCACATCCCTGAGTTTGAGAGGCAGACGATGAAACCATTTTTAGTTTTCATGTGTTAAAGCTGAGCAAGGTGCGACTGTTTTAATGTGAAAATGAGGTCATGTAATCTTCTCCAACGGCAGGAAACAAGCAGCGATTTTAATGTTCTCTGACATGATTATATATTTTTCTCAATCTTAGTGTCAACAAATCGAGTGCAAAGCAATGTTTTAATAGTTAAGATGACGCGCTAAGAAAGTGCTGTCACTGTTTTTTCTTTTCTAAAAATTTAGACACGAAACACAAATATTTAAACTCCTTATATTAATTCTATTAAATTGGTTCAGGTCAAAGACGCCCTTATTTTAAGGACTTCATGTACTGCTAAGCAGCTTTATCTATGAAAACTTCATTAGGTAAACCTGTTTAACTGCTCATTAACAAAATATACAGAATAAAATAGAATAGAATAGAATAGAATAGAATAGAATAGAATAGAATAGAATAGAATGCCTTTATTGTCACTATACAGTTGTACTATGAGATACAGAGCATCTCCTACTCAGTGTAAACATGCTGGGCACAGTTCTGCAGCGCTATGTACATATGGACAGTGGATATCTAATCACCCGATCACATGGCACTAACTCTGTGCATTTAGGCATGTAAACATTGTCAAGGTGGCCTCCTGAACTTCAAACTGTGCAACAGAATGGAGAAATAAAAGAGGATTTAAGTAACTTTAAATGTGGCATGGTTATTGGTATTTCAGAAGCTGCTGATCTGCTGGGATTTCCCACTCACGCAGTTCTAGTTTGTTTGTTTTTTTATAGAGAATTGCTGTGAAAAAGAGAAAACATCCAGTGAGCAGCAGCTCTCTAGGTGAAAACACCTTGTTGAACCCTGAGGTCAGAGGAGAATGACTGGACTGCTGGGAGCTGGCAGGAAGGCAACATTAACTCAGATAAGCATTTGTTAGAACCAAAGTACGCAGAAGAGCATCTCTACAGCAGCAGAAGAACACACGGCTGCTGCTCCTGTTCCTTATCCACCACAGATAAAGTCACCTGGCTCAGCTTTAACACTTCTTGGACCTTTTTAGTTCATTTCCCACCTCCAGCCATAATTTTCGTTAACCGGAGAACTGGGTTAGGTTTTGTGTGAGGGTTAAAAGATCAATATCCTCCACACTACTTTGTGTTTGTTGTTGACATGGCTCATCAGGCGAGCAGAAACAAACGCACAGATACAGATGTCATCACAAAGGAGACAGAAGCTCTTTTCACTTTTAGCTTCTCTATTGTCCGAACATCGGCTCACTTGCAGCAGAGATAGGTCGCTAACAAAGGTAGTCCTCTGTAATGGCTCTTCTCTGGACTCGAGTGAGAAAGTAATTTAGCGACAGACGGACGTGTGGGCTCCCCGGACACTCCTCAGGCCTCATTACACGAGTCGCTGACAGAGCCTCTCCTCTCTAATTACCTTCATTTGGCCTGACCTGCCGCTGCTTTAGACTTCACACTCTCGGCTTGAAGCAGCGGAAGTTTACTCACCTGTCAGGTGGACACAGGTCTTTCTTTTTTTCTCTCTCTCTCTCTCTTAACGACAGGATAATTTAAGTTCCAGCTCTCCTGCATGTATGAGGAGGAATATGCTGCTTTTATCAGGGTAAAAATACTGAAAATGACAGGCAAGAGAGGAGGAACTGAACCTTTGACTTTTGGTGACCTTACTATTAGAAAAACTGGATTTGTACACTTACAGGCTGAATTCATGTTAATTCCAGGCTCAATTTCCCACAAAAAAAAACAAAAAAGAAAAAGGCTGAATCCGTGTGTGACAGATCACGCTCCTGAGGGCTTCCATTATCCAGCCTTTGCGTCCTCAGTCATGTTTGCTCTGCTGGTTTGAGAAGGGCAGGCACACTCACAGAGGTGTTGGGCATTAATGCTCCCTCTTATAAGACACACACCACACTGCATACTGTGCATGTGCGCATAAAGAAAATCATTCTTATTTGCCTTTTTTTAAAATTTGTTCTGGTATTTTTGATTTTCCTGTAAAGGTTTAAAATATAAATACAATAATATTTTAAGATTATTTAAAGATTATTTAAATGTTCAGCTACATGCAGGAAATCATGTAGCTGAAATCTGCGATCCAAATATTTTTCAGTTTTTCCATGAATCTGCATTTTTTATTTTTGCAAATGAAAACAAATAAATTTGCATTATTACAGCCAGACACTTTTTTTATTCACTGCCTGCTAAAATCTAGAAAAAAAACCCCCAAAATCCAGTCCACCACTGCATTTTGGATTTGTAAGCTGTAACTAAACCTTTAAGACGTGTTTCTATGTAACATCACCCGCCATTCCATTAGGTACACCTTGCTTGTACTGGGTCGAACTCGCTTTTGGCTTAATTCTTCATGGTGCAGATTCAAGAAGTTGCTGGAAACATTCCTCCGAGATTTTAGTCCATGTTGACATAATAGCACCACACAGTTACTGCAGATTTGCAAATGAGAATCTTCCATTACACCGCATCCTAAAGCTGCTCTGCTGGACTGAAATCTGATAACTGGCTAATATAATGAAGTGACATGCTGTCCATTCGGAGTTGCTCTTCTGCATACCTTGACTGCAACCAAGGTATGCAGAAGAGCATACCTTGCATGCATTTAGGCATGAAGCACGTCTATATGCCCAAATCCTTTGAGTTGTTAAAAGGTGATTGGCTGATTAGACAGCTGTACCTAACAAAGTGGCCACTCAGAGCACGTAGCTCAAAGCTAGTTTAAGCATTTATTGTGCACAGCTGCTCCATTAACAGATCACAGATAACTGATGTCTGTCTTGTGCTTACAGATGCTAAATGAAGGCACTTAAAATTAAGCGCTGCTGATCATCTCTGTACTTAGTGCCTACCTGCAGGAATTCATCAATTTCGACTTGTCCGTTCTTGTTGAGGTCCACCTCATTAAGGATTTCATGGAGCGCGTTTTCATCAATGTGCACATTGATGCTCTGCAGGGAAGGAGAAACACAGCACTCGGGATCAATGACATGCAGCTGCGGGTAACAAATATGTGAAGACTGAGAGAAAAAAACTCACCTGTAAAACTCGCTGGACGTCAACAGTGGTGATGAATCCTTTGCTCTCTTTGTCAAACTTATGGAAACGCTTCTTGTACCTGTCAGACACACGAGCAGTAACAGCCGATTTACAGCAGCGATATTAACAGACAACAACAACAGCAGTGGATCAAATACCGTCATGTTGATGTTGCGCATACAACACCATAACCAGCATTGGCCCAGGACCAACACTGGAACCAGTCCACGACCGAAAAAACCCACATGGCCTCCAGTAACCACTACTTAAATTCTAGCTTTCATTCCCTGGTTGGTGTTTGGGAATAAACATTTTTCCCTAGCGAGCAGTGGCTGTTAGAGGCTGTTATGCTTTCCTCAAAAGCGTGTTGACCTTCTAATTACTCGCTGGTTTGGAAATGCCTTTGAGGTGCAACAGCAACAGTTAGTAAGTTGTAACTACTACCATCTGCACTGAAATAAATAAGTATTTTCCCCAAATGGGATAAAAAAAGGCCTGACTTTCCTCCTTTCACCCACCACCTCACCCACCATTTATGACCTACTTATACTTTTTTATTTATACTTGGTCATCATTACCTGTAATATATCTATGACAGGTAATCTAAGATGTTTTCATATTACTTTTAAAAATAGAGGAGTTTTGGTATCACAGCTCTACCAGATCCTTCAAAGAGTTTAAAAGGGCATTGCCTGAAACTGTTGCCAACTCTTCATCCAACCAGAGATCAGTACCAGAGACAGTATTTGGGTAACTGAGCCACAAACATGGTCCTTTATCCCTGAAAACAGCAAGTTTTTCCAGAGCCTGAATGTCTGCTCCAGAATCTCTGAATCTGGTTCTGGGTCTATTAGCTGTGTAATAATCAGAGCCAGCAAGTCGAACAAAAAAAATGTGAGGAGTTGTAGAGACAGACTGACCAAACTTACAGTGGGGAGAAATATTCCCCTTATAGTAAAAATATGAGAGCGAACTTAAATATGATCAGGGTCATAAATTACTATAAAAATAATATTTTAAGATTATTTAAATACTTGCAGGAAATCCTGTAGTTGAAATTTGCTCTGTGCCCCACAGTAAGAACCACAGAGTCTGTGTGCCCCTCCATGGACATGTCTCCCCTGACCAATCACCAATCACCAAACCGGTCATGCTAAACGATGCTACAGACAGCACAACTTTCTCCACGGCTTTTCCAGACACTTTCACATCTGTCACGAGTTCAGGGTGAACCTGCTCTCATCTGTGAAAAGCTCAGGGTGCCTGTGGTGGACCTGCCAATTCTGGTATTCCTTGGCAAATGCCAATCAGTCTCCACAGTGCCAGGCAGTGAGCACTGAGCCCACCAGAGGACAGCAGGCCCTCAGGTCACCCTCATGTAGTCTGTTTGTGATTGTTTGGTCAGCAACATTTAAACTAGTGACCTAATGGAAGTCATTTTGTAGCTCTCACAGTGCTCATCCTGTTCCTCCTAGCGTAAAGGAGCAGATATCGGTCGTGCTGATGGATTAAGGACCTTCTATGGCCCTGTCCAGCTCTCCTACAGTAACTGCCTGTGTGTTCCTGAGACACAACAAACCTTCTGACAATGGCACGTATTGATGTGCCATCCTGGAGGAGTTGGACTACCTGTGCAACCTCTGTAGGGTCAGGTATTGTCTCATGCTAGCAGTAGTGACAGAGAGACTGGTCAAATGCAAAACTAGTAAAAAGCAGAAAAAGTGAAGAGGGAAAAATGTGTCCCCTCCAGCTGCAAACCATTCCTTTGTTGGGGTTTGTCTCATTGTCACACGTCTACTGGACTTGTTGTTCATTTCATTAACACCAAAGCAACTGAAACTCATTAACAAGCCCCTCTGACACTTAAATGACCAGAACAACATCCCAGAGATTTAACTGACTGGATGGTATACTCTCATTAAAGTGTTCCTTTAATTTTTTGAGTAGTCTATAACTGATATGGAACATGATTAAGAAAGAAAAAAATGCATAAATCAATCAGGAAACTTAAATGAACTATCTGACGTTTTCAAAAGCACTACCTGGCTACTTCATGGTTGTCCAGGTTAATCTCAGACGTCTTGGTTATTTGCTCAGAGCGAGACCTGTAGCCCATCTCATGGTACAGAAACTTCCTCGCTGCCTCAAGTTCCTCCTGGATTTAAAGAAAAAAAAAGTGAGCCCACACTAATCAGCAGAGTCATTTTCTCCTTAATCAGAACAAACAGATTCACACATACACCCTCTGTAACTCAGGTTATAACATTAAATGAGACATCTAATGTCTAATGAGGTCACTAAAATGTGTGTCAACGGCTAAAATGTTTCTTTTTCTCCAGCTTGCTACATGTCACTCATACAAGCTGCTGTCTCAAAATGCACAGCTCGATGTTAGTTTACCTGATTCATCAGATCTTTTAGCTCTAAACAAACCTCAAAACACTGGAAAACATCTGGTTTTCCAAAACTCAAAATAACATCTTCAAAAGTCTCTTTGTGTCTGACCACCACATCAAATCTAAAGAAAGTCTGTCGCTGTCACATGACAGTGACAGTGAGGAGAAATTATTTATTATGGCTGCACAACTTCCACCCATCCTACAAGTGAGACTCTCTAATCTGTGTTTTCTAATCTGTGTTTTCTAACTCCAGGACTACGCTGATTAAAATCTCTCAATCACAGACAAAGAATTACCAATAACAAATTTTGGGGTGATGTTACAGGCTTTTTTTTGGGAAAACTGATCATTGGAGCTGCAGTATTGTGAAAAAGTATCTTCCACCTTCTTGATCAATCAAATCAAACAAATTTAATACTAGAAGTTAGTAAGTCTGAGTAAATACAAACTGCAGCTTTTACATTTATTCCATGAAAAACTGTAATTAAAAAAAGGGATCATCAAGATGTTTTTGGTAAATGTGAGACGAGCCTTTGTGATCTTTTTGGTCAGCAGTGGTTTTCTCCTTGAACTCTCCCATGGACGCCGTTTTTGCCCAGTCTCTTTCTTATTGTTGAATCATGAACTTTGACCTTAACTGAGACAACTGAGTTAGATGTTCTTTTGCGGCCTCTTGGATGAGTCATCGAAGCTCTTGGAGTAATTTTGGTTGGCTGGTCACTCCTGGGAAGCTTCACCACTGTTCCAAGTTTCCTTCAATTGTGGATAATGTCTCTCACTGTGGTTCACTGAAGTTCCTGAGCCTCAGAAATGGCTTTGTAACCTTTTCCAGACTGATAGATGTCACTGACTTTGTTTCTCAGCTGCTCCTTTAGATCGTGATGTGCTGTGTTGGTGTTTGAGATCTTTTAGCTTCACTTTGTCACACATTTTCTATTTAAGTGATTTCTTGATTCAACACGTCTGGCAGTAATCAGGCCTTAGTGTAGCTGAAGAAACTGAAGTCAGGGTTCCAAAAAATGTGGTTAATACAGTTAATTCATGATGTACTTCTTCACACAGGCCCAGGTGAGTTTGGATAGGGTTTCTCCCTTAATAAATGAAATCTTCATTTAAAAACTGCATTTTTGTATTTACTCTGGTTATCTTTGCCTAACATTAAATTTTGTTTGATGATCTGAAACATTTCAGTGTGACAAATATGCAAAAAAACACAAACAAACAAAAAACCATGAAGAAAGCAGACACTTTTTCACAACAATGTAACTGAAAGCTTTTACACAAGGAAAACCAGAAACCAGATTGTTTGGTGCATGATTAACCGACTTGTTTATGAGTTATTCTCCCACTACTTCTGCTGGTTAACAATAAAGGCCTAAAATAGCTCAACTTTCATGCATGCACAGAGCCTCCTCTATGAAAGAGCAAAGGGTGTGGACATTTCCATTGTACTCTGATCAAAAACGAATCCCTGCCCCGACTTGAGAAACCCACCAGGGATTAAAGCTTTATGCAGAAGCCAGGAGAATAAAACAAGTGTAATCCCATCAGTGCACATCCTTTTAACCTGCAGACATGCACCTCAGGATGCTGGTGACAGTTTTAGAAATAGAGTTAGGTTATGTTTTAACCATAAGCACACTTTCAGTAGAAGATGTGGGCCTTATATTTCCTTATATTTATGTCTGTGAAGACATTGGATGAGAGGTGAAACGTCTTCAAGCAACTTGAAGAAGTCCAGACGCTTTTCTTTGCAAGCTCCTTTGACTACGATGACCTGGATGACTGAGAACCTTCACAGACATATTGCCGTGCATATTTTTTTAATAAGCCTCTCTATGTGGACAACAGAGATTGTGTAAATCTAACCATACGAAACGGTGACCTGGTGAATGTTAAAGGGTTAAAAACATCAAGTGTTGTAAAGCCGTACCGTCCTCTTCTCCTGACTCCAGTCCAGTTCTTTGCCCATGATCTGGACGATACGTGGGAGCGCCTCGTCAGCCGCCTGCACATTCAGGAAGCCCAGGCGAGTTCGCCGGGCGATGACATCGATGGCGGTGCAGGCGTACTCCTTAATCGCATATAGCACCTGAAAAAGACGAGAAGCTCTCAGACACTCTTCAGACACACAGCTGGAACTTTAACCGTTTACACAACAGTCCCACTTTACCTCGCTCTCGATGTACGGGAATTCAGACACCAATCTTTTCCCGACGATCGGCCATCTCTGCCCGGTGACCTGAGCCATTTTGGCAACGTCAAATGCCCTTCCCCCATACGTGGAGGCCAGGTGTTGAGCGACCTGTGCCAGAGAAAGATATAAATACTTATTTAAATACATAGATTTTATATTAATTTATGTTAATAATAATGCTAATCAGAGGTTTTCTGCCCTGAAAACATGTTTAGGAATTTATACCAAAGCAAAATCACCAGGACTGTGATAAAACACCATTACTCAAATACTCAAACAATTATCAAAGGTCATAAATTACAGGGACATGCATAAACAGTAAGGTGAAACTACAGCAAAAAGACTGCCTGAATTTGTGTAGTCAACCCCCAAACACACAATTTAAACTGTGTTAATAACAGGATTAAATTATTGGATAATCAGAAGCACTTATTAGAAATTTATTGACTGTTTAGTTACATCGAAACATGTGACCCACCTGTTATTCACTGATAAAGCTTTTATTAAAATGAATACATTATTCACTCATTAGGACCTTTTTTTTGTTTTGTTTGTTTTTTTCTTACATCTGCTAGAACAAAGTCTCATTAAGGTCTATAATTTGATTTTCCTAAATATATCATTTACACTAAACTGCTTTTTATATCTAAACGTTTTTACCATCCTTGTCATAGGAGCTTTTATATAAAGTCATTAGCTGATCTGAGAAATACATAAGCAGCATCAGTAGGAATATTACAAGTCATTTCCTACATGAGGAAAAAAAGACCGACACCTCTTATACTGACTGATTAATACATTTGTAAACAGAGTTTAACAGTATATCATACTTTCACATGGCTACTCCCGCTGTTTCCCTCCACTGTTAATGGCATATTGCTATAACGGTTAAATAATGGGGGGGGGCTGTGCTAAAATATTTCTATAGAGAAAGATGTTGAACATCCTACTCCAACTTAAGAATTACAGGTGTGTCGCCAGCTTATTTGGGTTTTTCCAAATAAGCTGAATTCAGTGTGTGTATAATAAGTGTGTGAATGTATAACTCCTGTTATCCCTCCTACAACATATAAGTCCATTATTCTAAAAATCTATTTGCTCTTGGTTAGTTTTTCCCAGCTGCCAGTGAAATAATGAGCAATAATGGCACAAGTCTGAATAAGTAAATAGATACATTTAAAAATAAATGTACAAAATGAATGTTTGAATGTAGACAGAGAAATAAATCCAAGTTAAAATACAAAAATAATTAGATAGCTACATAAATTCATGTGGAGAAATAATATACAAATGCAAAAACAGAACAATTAATTAATTAATTAATATCTACTACCTAAATAACTTTCAAAGACTGACCGAGTATAAATGAAGATAAATGTAAAAATAAATAAATCATTAAGTAAATGTTGAAGTATATATGATGCAAAATAGAGAATTAATTAGATTAATGTAAAACTATGTAAATTGATTTGCAGAACTAAAAACATAATATAAAAACTGAGTGAATACACTAAATAAATACATTATATAGATTAAATACATTAAATTTATCTATAAATTAATGTTGTAAACTAAAACTAAACTAAATAACTGTAGTAAAACTGAGCATAAATACATAAATAAATACATGAATTCTGAAATACAAAAAAAAAATATAGAAAATGTAGAATAAAAATTAAAAATATCAAATGTAGAAAAACAGCTGTAGCCTTAATTAAAATTTGAATAGTATGTATAGAAATTATTTTTCAATTCCCTCCCCAAATAAATGTTTGTATTTACTTAATTTATTGATTAATTTATTTAGAATTATTTAGTTTTCTGTCCTCTTTAACAGCATGTTTTTAAAAAAGGTCAGAAAATAGCAAAAACTGTTAGATTAACTGTTAAATTGTCTGTTGTGTTTAACCAACAGCCCAAAAAACATAGTTTTAATACAAAATTAGAAAAACACCCTGATATTAACAGACTCAGCACTGTCCATCAACCAAATATTTCACTTTTAAACTGAAGACTGATTTTAACAGACGTTACACACAATTAAAGAGTTAAACAATGAAAAGCTTCTGCTTTTAAACGCATGTTTAAGTCCTTTCACTACAGTTTAAATTATGTAAACTTGCAGCTGCTGGTATTCAGATGATCGATTTCACCTCTTCTGAGTTAAACGACAAACGATAACGCCGCTTTGTCAATGAGGTGTCACATGTTTACAGAACACAACAGGTTATTTGCTATTCAGATCGTTGGCCTGCTGATCGTGTGAAAGGGCAAACGCTGTCCAAATACCAACAGTGACCTTTTAGGAATATTTCAGAGAACAACCAGAACAACCAGAGCTGAGGCCCCTAATGAGGAGTACGTTTACTGCAGGCACTCAGCGCAGGACTCCTTTTTCCTTATGAAACTATGTTCTACTGCGCTTAATGAAAACGAGCAGGCTAATTATCAGAAAGACGCTGCAAAGCTGATGTGAGTCGATGTGCCTTAGCTTAATGCCACTGGTAAATTGGACAGCACACAGTGCGTTCTAACGCGTGTCCAGTCTTTTGTGTAGTGGAAATGTCAGCTTTGTTACAGCAGCAGCTTTAATGTCAGCATCTGGTGGAGAAGACACCGAATGTGTCTGCGAGAGCTGCGGTTACAGCTCGGTTTGTACACGGCTGTGTCAGCCAGTGTGTACAGTAGCTCCGCATTCCCAAACTTTTCTTAATGAAGCAGTAATCTCATTGATTGGTCTGAAAACAAACCTGGAAGATGTGGCTTCAAATATAAACCGTCATTTATCTCAGTGGCAGAGAGATCCAGACTTTCACATTAAAGTCAGACACTTATTTGTACACTCACCAGCCACTTCATTAGGTATACTTTTTTAACTGCTCATTAACACAAAGATCCAGTCTGCCAATTACATGGAGGCAACTGAGTGTATTTAGGAATCTGGACATTATCAAGATGATGAGCTACGTTCAAAAAGCATCAGAAAGAGGAAGAAGACGGTGATTTAAGCAACTTTAAACATGGCAGGGTTGATGGACTGTGTATTTCAGAAGCTGCTGATATGCTGGGAGTTTCCCACATGACCATCTCTAGAGTTCTAGAACAATCTGAAAAAGAGAAAATGGTCTGTGAGCTTGACTAATCTGGGTGAAAACGATGCTAGAGGTCAGAGGAGAATGCTCAGCCCGCTTCGAGCTGATAGGAAGACAACAGTAACGCAAATAACCACTTGTTACAACCAAGCTATGCAGAGGAGTAGGGCTGCTCAATTAATCGAATTTTAATCACGATTACGATCTGGGCATTCAACAATCATTAAAAATGACTGAGCCGATTATTAGCCCCTCCCTCATTTATCCGCGACATCTTAAAGGCCGGTCCGTGAAAATATTGTCGGGCATAAACCGGTCCGTGGCGCAAAAAAGGTTGGAGACCGCTGATTAAGAGGACCCGAGGGAAGCTCGGAAAGCTAAGCAGAAGTTATTTGGAGAGAAGAGTGACTGCCGTTGGTTGAAAAGAGGGGTAAAAAAACCTTCAGTGGTGTTGCACACTATTTTATAGGGGTGGGGGAAAAAATCGATACTGTGTAGTATCGTGATATTTTGTTTGCTAATAATGTATCGATACAGGGACAGCAGAAATCGATATTTTGCTACAAAAAAAGTTTTTGTGGACTGGACTGACTTCAGAGCATTTTGATCAGCTCCTTTTTCTGAGCAAGAACCCTGACATTCCTTCACTGTCCAAATGTGTTTAACTTGTTTTTGGGCAGCAATAAACATGACAGTTTACTTATTTTAATTTAAGACATGTTTTATTTTAATTAAGTTTAAAACTTTTTTATTTAATGTAAAATTATATTTTGTTTTAATTTACTGTCAAATTCTTCAGTTGCTGAATGGGCTGCATAGTTTTCATAAGTTGCATAATTCAGAATAGCTATAATTGTACCAGATGGTTGCATTCAGTTCAGTTGGACTAGACTGTAATACAAGCCGTTCAGTTTGTCAACAATAAAACTGACTGAAATGAGAGAAAGACTGAGTGTGAGACTTTGATATTAGATAAAATGAATATTGATAAAGTTTACCTTTATGTACAGAATCTGAATATCGCAAAATATTTTTAAAAATTGCAATAATATCATATCGTGCGTTAAGTATCGTGATAATATCATATCGTGGGATATATGGTGATTCCCACCTCTACTATTTTATATTATTTTTTAAAGTCATTATTCAATACATTGTTATTGTTAACCCTTTAAAGCCGGTCAGAGCAGCACGCTCCGTTTTGTGTAACTATTTTTAAATCCCTGTAGAACCTGAACCGTGTAAGCTAGCGCAATAATATTTTTTGCATATTAAACCGGAGGAGTTGTACTTACATCTGATGCCATCAGCTTGTCCTTGGTCACGGTTTCCTTCCACATATAGCTTTGCAAAAATTGCATAAAAAGCGCTTGCAGGAACAAAAACATAATATCCCAGAAACACGCTTTGCTGATCCGATCAGCTGTTCATAACACTTCTCACATTGAAACAGACGTCACCGCTAACTATCGCATGTCCACCATGCCGGAAGTGACGTCATTTTCGCGGAAAATGTAGTTTTTTTACTTGTAGGCCTTAAAAGCCTTTACTGGTCATGTTTGACTTTTCTGAATAGTTTCTGTGATGCTTAGAACTCGAATTGCACTGCTGGAAATAGTTTATTTTGATGCACCTGCTGTTTTCTTTGCAAATTTGCATCATAGGATTGTTTTTTCGTTTTTCCTGCAGTATATAAAAATTGGTGTATCTCCAAAATGAAACTATGAAGACACTCAAAATAAATTTCCTGTTGTTGTAAACTATTTTTTGCAACTTTTTTGTATTTAAAGTTTTGAGGGATAAACCTCTTAAATTTCTCCAAGTAGAAATATATGTAAAAAAACAAAACAAACGATTTTCAATTTTTTTGTAGTTTATTGCACTTTTTTGCAATTAATGTAGTTACTATGGACTTAATGCATATTATTAAAATATGGGCTATAACAGTTGTATAGCAACTTGAAATGCTCCCACAAATGGCACTACAACATGTAAAAAAATAATATAAGCTCTGGCGGACTTAGTAGGTCTTAAAGGGTTAAAGGGTTAAATAAATATCGTCAAATAATCGAGATCTCAATTTCAGTGAAAATAATCGTGATTATCATTTTTGCCATAATCGAGCAGTCCTACAGAGGGGTGTGGTCTTCTGCTGCTGATGAGACGCATCAGCAGCAGAAGACCACACCGGGTGACACGTCTGTCAACTACAAACAGGAAACTGAGGCTACAGTACACATGAGCTCACTAATTAGACAATCGAAGGCGGGAAAAAGGAAGTGGTGAATGTTTCCCTGACCTCTAATTCTTCCTCTTCCACCAGTACAGCTTCACAAGTTTGACTTTGCCATTTTACCAAACTTTTCAGATAAAAGTCTTTCAGCCTTTTAAATGAAAGCTGTTAATATGAAAACATCAGAGAGTGTTGCATTTTGACAACAATCAGAAGTAGAGCTTCATCGATGAACCAGCTATAATTGTAAAGGACAAAAGGCACCTATATATCAATTTAACATTTTCAAGGTTTAGACTGATGCTCAAATGAAAGCTAAGATAAGATAAGATGGTCTATATTAGTCCCACTGTTGGGTAATTCACAATAAACAGATGTAGCATAAGAAGAGATTTGAAGATGTGGTGGTAAATTATGGGGCTTATTTATCAGTTTTTTGCAGCTTGGATCATAAGTTTGCCAAAAGAAGAAACAAAACTGCACATAAAGCATAAAATCATAAGAAACTCAACTCTCCGGTCCACAACGACACACTTCTTTGGCACGTCTGATAAAATGTACAAGAGAAGGAAACTTTAAATAAAGGCCTAGTATGCTTTGGGGTTAATGTAAGAAAAGGCCACTGTTTGAGAAATTAAGGCTAACATGTATAAAGTATCAAACCTGCCGAGTAGGACTGCTTTAGGCTGCTGGAAGCAACTCGGTAACAGAAGGAAAGCAGAAGCAGAGGAAATGAAAGGAAAAGAGCCATGGATCAGCAGCTGTGCTTAAAAACCTGCTGAGCTTTAATAGTAAACAGTACAGTATTAGGCTTTAATGACCAGCTGCAGTAACGTAACATCTGACCTCTTTCTCCAGGCCGTAGTCCTGCACCAGGCGGATGTAAAGGGTCGGCGTCCACCCCTTGGCTCCCTCCAGCATCAGACCAACAGTCTTGCAGGAGTCAGCTGAGAGGCGGTGGGCCTTAATTGTTGCGTCCAGGGTCTCTTCAGCCATAGATCTGTAGGTGGTCCATTTCCCACCTGAACACCAAAGCTGTGTTTTAAAATCCATCACAGGTACCTCTCATTAAAGATGATCAAACAGATTGAGGCCAGCTCACCAGCGATTGTGATCAGTCCGCTGTCACTGATGCTGACGATGTGGTTCCTGCAGATGGACTGGGTGTCTTTGGAGCTGGGGTCCGTCACTAGGGGACGTATGCCGCTCCACGCTGCCAACACGTCTCCTCGACGCACTGCAGACACAAAAATGTCACACCATGTCATGTTTATTAAAGAAGGAGCCAAAGAGGAGAATATAGAGCTAACAACTCTATATTCAACTGTGGGCCAAGAATGAATCCCTGAGGGACTCCAAGCACAACAAGATTTGATTTAAGACCCTTAAGAGCAATCTTTCTGACTAGAAACTCGCTGCTCTACCCAAAAAGATGAGATTACGATTACCTACCCTTCCCCAATGCATCACTGAATGCCCAAACCTGTGAGTCAGTCATTAAAAAAAACCTTTAAAACTGCAGATTCAGTCACCATATCAGCATGTGGCTCCATGTGAAGCAGACACTTGGTAAAAAATAAAAAGCAGGCTACTCAAAAATTCATCACAAAGCGCTCCTGTACCTTCTACATCAGGGCTGAGATAATTGCGGACCTCCCTCAGGATGAAGTTGATGTCGTCCTCCCCTGGGATTGGGTGGGCTGTCACACTAGTGGGGGTGTCGGTTGTTCCGGCGATGGTCATGTTCTCCCACGGCAGGAAGAAGATGACACGACCATCGCTGGTGGCTGGATCGAGGAGACCCATGTTGTCAGGACTGTGCCAAGGAGAAGGGAAAAAAGGAGGATTTCTTATTATTAAATATACCACTCGTAATAGAAGTACCAGGAGTCTGTGCGGTTTATTGAAATAAAAAAGGAGAGTGGCGCAAAAAAATTGAGGAAAACAGGAGGAAAAGAAGGAATGGTGGCACTAAAAATGAGGAGATGAGGGCCAAACTGAGCAGGAGACAAATGAACACAGATATGGAAGAGGTAGAGGAGGCACGGGAGTATGTGGGTGGGGGTAGATAGCAGCAGGAGGAAGATGAGAATAAGTGAGCAGGAGGAAGAAAATTAGGTGGTTGGCATTTCTGTTCAAAGGGCTCGCGCTCCCTCGGGTTTCACTCAATAAGCTTAGCTGAACTTTAAAACCTCCGACTTCAACAAAACCACTCTGCCACTCGGCTGTATCTTAACCGGAGAAGATTGTCCTATGTATGTAGGCGGAGGTCAGATAATAGTTTGGCTAGCTTAGTATTTACACACAGGAATGAGAAAACACAGGAACTACTATACATGTTAATGGAAGAGAAAAAGAAAACAACAGGAACAGCTTTGGTTGTTTTTGGCATTATTATGTCAGACCTGTAGTATCCGGGGATGACGATGTGAACTCCAGCACTGGGCTGGCAGATGTTCGAGGCCTCCTGGTTGTCCATCTTCCTCAGAGCGTCTGTGAACGGTCCGGTGGCGTTGATCACACACTTGGCCCTCACGTCAAATTCCTGCCCTGTGAAGACGAGCGAGACGTTGACAGATTCGATTAAGAAAGACATCAAATACAAAAAATAAGCAAACAATAATGTGGGAGGAACCGTTCACTGGCTTCTTAATGCAAACAGCAGCTTCTTATCACAATTAAATTGAGTTTTTCCTTTTTTATTTCACACCACTGCAGCACCATCCTGCCTGTGTATATATTATTTGCTATACACATTCATTTCTACTTAATTTACAATAATGCATTTACCCAAAAAAAATCCTTTTAGAAGCCTTCATGGTCATTAAGAACAATACATAACTCAAATAAAAGGAAGCTGTAGATATAGCTGCAGAAAACATCAGAGGCAGAAACAAGAAAAACAGCAACAAGATAATGGGAATTTCCTTTATAAGCTTTGAAGTATTACTATAACTTATTCATTAATAATCTAATGTAAGGCTTGTAGTTTATAATATAACTGTTATTAATGACCTGAAGTGCTACAGCTGGACACGATGAGACTTTTTTATTTATATTTTAACTTCTCTGTGGACTGCAGTGCACAAATATTTGGCTCTAATTGTAGCGCTTTTCTCCTCTGTTTGAGCGCCTCTTAATACAAGTGTCACTGACCCTTTGACACACATTTACAGAAGTGTTTTTTTCCTACGTCTGAGTGCTTTGAACCTAACATTCACATGCTCACACTCCGATGGATGCACAGGGGGAAGACATGACCTGCTCTACCTCCTGAGCCGACGTCACACGCAAATAAAGCGAAAGCCAATTAGACGTGGAATTCAGTTTTTGCAATCATGCGAATGCTTGGCTTCAACTTGTCTGCCATTTTGAACATGTGACACTGTAGTTCTAGATGTTCAGGCAAGGTGGCAAGGTGATACTACTTGCAAATATGTCTTGATGCATGCTCAGCCAACCAGGTAAGTAAATTCTGAAAGACTGAGCCTGAGGACAGTCAAGGAGGCCATTTACGTGAAAAGGTAAAGAACATCTATGAATGGAGGAGGAGCCTTAAGGGTACATCTTTTGCCATCTAACAATGCTGTGATTGCAGCCACTCCCACTGTGAATGGCACTCATGGCCATTGATCTATGGACTTTAATCAGTGGTTGTTGATCAATGGTCATGAAAATTTGCATATTAATGATCAAGGAATTGACCTCATAGCCCATTGTTCATTCAGTGGGCTGGTTTCAGTCATTATGCAAATATACTGTTTATAAGATTGGAAACCTGCAGTCAGCTGAGACTGAAGAAGTCACTTGGATGAGTGACGAAACGTTTCTCCCACTGAAAACGCCACGTCCAGATGAACAGAATCAACCTTTTAAGAGGTACTTGCAAAGACGTATACAATGTCTTGGACACCAGGAAACTATTGTTAGGAGGACATCGACTTATCTGCAAGCATTTGCCAGCTACTCTCCTAGTGGAAGTGATGGAGATCTTTTGCTTTCAAAGTAAAAGTTGCACCTTTTGAAACGTGTTGGCTGTGTAGATCCAAATTTTACTTTAAAGGAAACTGTTTGTTTCTGGCTGCCGTTTAATGAGTAGATGGCAAGTGTTTGCACCAACTGCCAGAAACCTCCAGGAACTACTCACCAACTGGTTGTTGGTGCACATTTTTAATGTTCACTATGGTGGATAACTATTGATCAATGTGCGCATGATGTCACACAAGAAACCTGAAAGGTGATGAATGGGTGGGAGAAAAAAAAAAAGCAATCCACAGTGAAGGTGAAATTGGGGGTTTCTGATTTTCCCGCTCCCACCATAGGGGGCGTATTTGAGCTCAATATGACATGTTTTTCCAAAAAGCGAGAAGAGTGAACTTAAGTTATTAACCCTGGCTCTATGGTGTTAATGAGAAGTTAATAGAAAGAGATTAAATGGACATGCCGTTGTTATGGTTACATGGTGGTCTTCAGGTATATAGCAGGTATAGAGCTGACCCTTTCCATCCTCACTTCCAGGGATTTTTCATAAATATATTTAATCCTAATGTTTAAAAAGCTTTTTTAATGTCAGTCTCCATGTAGACTGATGCAACAGTTTGAAGCGGCACAACACAGCTTGGCCTTTTTAAATGATTATTTCATCTTCTCTTTTTATGGTGTTGGAGGAAGTCTAAACCTTCAGGGTCAGGATGATCTTTCTAACCTGTGCTTTAGGAGCTCAGAGACACTTTTGGATGGAAAAAATTAAACTTTAGAGCGCCATCTCGCCGCCCGCATCCCTCACCTGTGATGACGTCCCTGCAGCGGGCACCGCACACCTTCTCTCTGCCGCTCTGCGGGTCCTTTTTCTTCAGCAGGTGAATCACCTCGGTGTAGTTTGCGATGGCGGCGCCGTAGCGGGCGGCACTGAGGGCGATGGCCAGGTTCATACGGGCATCATTGTGCTGACCTGAAGCAGGACAGAAAAGAAGGACATGAACAAGATGGAAGGAAGAGGTAATTTGTGCCTTTTTATAGGCATTTAGCTGGATTTCTCACATGGATAGGAGAATTTGTACCTAGGGGAAGTATTTGAGGAATGCATATATATATAATACAGCAGCCAGCCAGCTCGGCGTAAGTGGATTAGGCCCAACATTTGGTGTGTGTCTGTGACAATAAAGGAGTGTCTGCTGTTGCTGGTGGCAGCGGCAGTAACCAAGGAAGTGGGAGAAATAGCTGCTGCTGCTCACCCGCTCCGACCGGTGACGCCGCCGCCGCTGCTGCTCTGCGCTCTACACCGCCGGGAGAGAAGGTCATATTTCGAAATGTCACGGGCGTGATTGTTCCAGACGGCATAATTGGAGAAAAGACGGCCCACCCCTCCCCCCCCTCCCCATCACCCTGGCCCCCAGCCCCCACCCCTTCAGAGCAGATGATGGGAGGATGGTGAGGAGGTGAAAATCAAACATATGCTGCTCTGGAAAACGCTCTTCCATTTTCTCAGTCTGCAGGCAGGAACCTCTGATCACTTAAGAGTAAAAGTATTTTAAATGGATAAATAAAACTTCAGGTAAGTGCTCCTTACTGTGCTGAAGAAATAAACGGATATTAATGGATATCGTATTTTATTTCATAGTAAAATTATGATAAAGACAAACATCAGCAACCTGTAAGTAGTGTCATTTCTCCAATTAAAATAAAACAAACAAACAAAAAAACAGCCTGTTGTGAGTGAACACAACGAGCCCATACTCAGCGAAGCCAGCAGTGGAAAACACATCACCCGCAGATACGCCGTTGTTATTTTCGGCGGCGGAACGGAAAGGACGCCAGAGGCACAAGGCTCCTCACACTCAGCTGGACGCTCAGCATATGTTTGGTTCTCCTTCGTGGTGAAAAGGCAAACACGCAACCTTTAGCGCCGCGGGGGTAGAGGGGGCATCCTACCAGTCTGTCAACACATTTTGTTCGGCACCAGTGGAGATGTGAAGGCCTCGGGCAGAGCTGCATCCGAGGCCTGCATTCTCTAATCTGCTGTTTGGCTTAATGATACCATCCCTACATGTTTCCTGAAGTATATTTCAGATTTGCACTATTTGTGTTTAAATGTGAATAAAAGAGAAAGTTGGTCGTAAACTTTACCTGATTTAAATTCTTAGCATAAAGTATGTTTTTATGTAAAGAATAAATTGCTTTTTGCTTCTTTGTCTGTACTCGTACAGGTTTTGAACAGCACAGCTAAAAATATGTCTATGAACTGAAGAAAGACAGATTGTATTTTAAAGGCGTTTAATTTTTACTACTGCTGTGTTTAGTAGTTTACTCACACTGGCATCAATCTCATAGTAATTTGGGGCTTTTAAGGATTTCATGGAACTGTTTAAAACAAGAACTGGAAGTACAAGCTTGATGTTATTTAGGATTTCTTCTAATCAACACAAGGTCAAAAATAAACACGCAGTTCAAATACATCCACCCAACTGTGTCCGAGTTTCAACAATCTAGCTGTTGGTTCCCGGTGAAGTTGAAGAAATTCCTTCTTTATTATTCCAACCAATTTGTGCAGTGTACCAGTACCACTGGCAGCAAAACAGCCCCAGAGCATGATGTTACCACCACCATGCTTGACAGCTGGTATGTTGTTCTTAGGTTTGAAAGCCTCATCTTTACTCCTCCAAACCTACATCTTGTCGTTGTGGTGAAATGGCTCAATATTTGCTTTGTCTGACCATAAAACTTTTTGGCTTGTCCATGTGGGCTGCTGCAGATTTCAGTTGGGCTTGAAGGTGTTGATTTTGGAGCAGGGGCTTCTTTCTTGGTTAGCACCCTCTCAGTTCATGGTGATATAAAACTCACTTCCAAGAGTTTTCATTCAACAGTTTTTCATGGCAGGTTTGAGCCTTGGTGGTTTCTGGGTTATTCTTTAACATCCTAACCGATTTCCTGTCATCTGAGGGTGGCAGTTTGGGTCTTCTTACAGGACTCGGCAAAGTGGTGACAAATCTGAATAGTTTGTACTCATGTAAAAATGTTTGAACTGATGAGCCTGGAATCTGCATTTGTTTAGAAATGACTTCAAGAGACTTTCACAGGTGGTGTAAATCTACATTTGTCCTTCTTAGATCTTCACTGAGTTCTTTAGACTTTCACTTTGTTCTCAGCACTGGTCAATAAGTGCTGTCAAAACTCTTCTGCACCACTTATTAAAATATTTAAATGAGTTGTTCAATGTGCACCCAAATCTTGTTTTTTAAAGCCATTAAAATGTGTGCTGTACAATCATTCCACCCTGATAATGGAACAGTTCAAATAAATAAATAAAAGCCTAAAGTTTTCCACAACATTCATGTCAATTATGAGTGGATATAAACTTCTGATCACAACTAACCGAGCAAAACTAAAACTAAAAGTTTTGAAAATGCTGCAGTTTTTTAGATTTGTGGGCGTGAAACTCTTTTTGCCAAAATATTACCGCTGGGCTCACATACCATTTGTGATTTCATGCTCACTCGGTGGCAAATAGACATGTACTAGCTAGCTATCATTTAACGTTCTACTCTTGGTAACAGCTAAGATATCAACTGTTAACTAAAGCTTGACGCTGGTAAAAGTTTCAGAAATGCTAAACATTGAAAAGTCAGCGACACCAAACTGAACTTAAAGCAACAGAACATGTTAGAAACCGAGAGGCTACGACTAAATCTGCAGGTTAGGGTCACTGATGGCTCTATGAGATGACTCCCAAAGCTCTCACTCAACTTCTCCTCCTTCCAGGCCAAAAAAATTCAAAAATAAAATCTATAATCTATAGTCTCACTTTTTGCCATTGCTATTAGTCCTCTCTTATTCTTTCCACAAGCTACCAGCCAATTTCTTCCTACTCACATGAATACAAAGAGTACATGAACGGTCAGTGTTGAATGTGTTAACAGGTGTATTTTCGGAACCTTTGTCTGAATAATGTAACTTTGTAAAATACAGAAGCTTTATCAGGTCGGGTCAGAGTTAAGTTGCACATGATTATGTGAGTCTAGGTTCTCAGTCATTGTGGTCATGGTAGTCTTAAGAGTTGGTGACTGGACATCTTTGGGTGTTTTGAAGATCTTTTACTTTAGAGCTAAAGAAACCTCTTGGAAAAAAATTAAAGCAATCCTGTCGCCTTCTTTTCAAGCTCTTAAGACTACTAAATGAGTACTTCAAATAGCCTTTCAGCGGCTCCTAGTGTAGACAGCCATCAACAGATTCAATTCACAGAAAACTTAAACATGTTGTTCTGCAGCTACTGCAAGCTTTTTGTAGGTTTTGTTTCAGCAAATATACAACCAGAAAGAAAGAAATACTATATTTAGTTATATACATCACACCTGTGTTTTTGCATTTGACAATTTAATATGAGCTATTTAGACGCCTACAAGGGTTAGATATCCTGTTTTTCATAAGCAGAAAAGGTCAGTCCAAATAACATATTTTTTCATTCCCTCCTATCTGTTTAGTCATCTCGTGAATGCTCACGTTGATGTTTCAACACCCCAGAAGTCAATGGGTGCTTCTGAAAAAGATTTCAAGACCTGTCATCACGTTTGCTGCTGTCAGGCGTTTAAATAGCGGTTACAGAGCTGCTCTATAAAACCTCATGTTCACGCAAATTTCCATCAAGCCATTGCTATTGTAAATCTTTGCTGCAGGAGAGGAAGACGGCGGGGAAAGGGCAAGACTGACTCAGCTGTCTTTTCATGTTTACACAAAATAAAAGAGATGAGTAACAAATAAGCAAACAAAGCATGCTGTTTGGATAACTGAAAACGCATTGCAGCGCGGATGAAACAAACAGCTCTGCTGGCGTAAAAAACCCCAACAATAACGGAGCCGTGAGCTCACCGTCGTAGTACACGATGGCCCCCACCAACTTGTCCTTCTTCAGCATGGGGAAGAGCTCCAAGGCCTTCGTCTTGCTGAGGACGTAGCTGCTCTTCAGGCACTGGATCCCCGCCACCAAGTCGTACATCTTGATCCCTGCCCAGTAGTAAGGCAACTGCCACCATCTGTGAGGCAAACACAGTGATTTAAGTTCTGTCTACTTAAATATTTGGATACAAAATCTTGTTTTTTGGTCAATTTTACGTCACCACATAGATGCAAAAATCTATTTTTCCTTCAGACAGGTATTAAACAAATTATCAGCTGGTTAAACAAGGCAGGTTTTGTCCTTACCCCAGTCATCATCAAAACGTGGCTACATTTACTCAAAACTTAGGTTTGCTCAACAAATAGCTACAAAGAACAAAAAGAGTAATAGATGTTGAACCGACAGGCATTTATACACCCCTACTGTAGTCTCACAGAGCAGCTGCTACCCAGGGAAGATGACACAGACCAACTGAAGATGAATCCCCCTCATAAACGCCCATATTTAACCAAAAAACCTTGTTCTAAATCTTACTTGTAAACAGGAAGCATGATGGGTAACGGCGCAGACAGGTGAGGTGCAATCTCCAGCAGGTTGGCTCGCTCATGGAGGGCCTCTTTCACCATCATGTACTGTTATAAAAAAATATATATATATATTTTTTCCTACTGATGTGCTCTGTTAGTGAGACTGAAATGACAATAAAAGTGTGTCTAATCCAAAAAGATGATGGTGAGAGAGGAGCATCTCAATAAGCCGAAGGTGCAGCACAGAGTAACCTGCTCGTAGTCCAGCTTCATGATGGCCTTCTGCAGATAGCGGACTCCACCGTGGATGAGCTTGGTGCTTCGGCTGCTCGTTCCAGAAGAGAAGTCGCTTCTCTCAACGAGAGCAGTCTTAAGGTCTGGGGAAAATGACACAGCGCCTTAATGATAACTGTATTAAGAAGAGCCTTGTTTCTTTCTTACTCTAAAACTTAAACTTATATAAAACCTAAACCTTACAGACGATTAGCTTATATGTCACCCGAAAACTTCAAGGGAAAAAACAAATAAACAGACGGCTCTTCGCTCTGATGAATCCGGTTATTATCAATACAAGTGAAAAATGTTGTTCTGACCTATTAACTTCAAAGTCTGATCTGCGATAAATGAGCTTCATCAGCTCGCAGTGAATCTATAAACCTGTAGGAGTGATGGCTTTTAAATACATAATAAGACCTGAAATGAACTTAAAAGTACCTGGTACCAGGTACTACCACCTATAGGAAAACCCTAAAGTAAGTAAAGTAAATATTCGTGGATTTAGATGTTGAAAGCAGTGCTTCTATGGATGTGTGTGTAAATCGGTGAATAGGACATAAGCGATATGAGAACCAGTCCATTTTGCAGTGTTGCAGAATCTAGAAGAACCTCTTAAAAAACTGAAGCATAGAGTACAGGACCATCATAAACCTTCGACCATGATTCAGTGAGAACACTTCCAAAGCCTAGTGAAACCTGAAAGCAGAGACACCCTGCTGATGGCGGGCTTACTGCGTGTGACAGCGTCTAAGGCACATCCTGCCCCCGTGGCCCCTCCTCCGACAACCAGAACGTCGAACTCCTCTGTGTTTGTCAGCGCTGCGAGCTGCGCCTGCCGAGAGGGGAGCTCATCGATGAAGGGAACCTTCAGCTCTGCTTCTGCCGCCACTTGGGCCAAACGAGCCTGGATGTGACAGACACGCACATGGATCAGCACGAACACAAAGAGCACGAGGCTTTAAAGAGACACGGGCTCTTTGTAATGAATGCGAATCAGCTAGCTTTTCTATGTTAGACGTTAAATTAAAAGAAAACGTAGCAACACTTTCCTTGAGGTGCGTTTGAAACATTATAAGCACACTGCGAGGACATGATGCTCGCACCATAATCACCTCAGAGTGGCATGGGACATAATGCATAATGACTTGCAATCATTTCAATACATTATGCATTTGGATTGACTGTGTAATGAGATTACTGTAAGACATGTTTACAGTATAATAAGCAATGTGGCGGATGGAATATAATGTATGTATGGGAAAACAGTTATGACTTGATGGATGATCATTGCTCTTAATTGGCTAAAAGGAGTTTCTACAACATGCTGAACCTGAAAACCTGCAGATTCTCGTGAACAAACCGGCTGTTTATTATTTTAATGTTGCACAACCCAAGTGACTATACCACATATAGAAAAGTAATTATGTAATTGCAGCACAAATAAGGCTATTTTATGTGAGTATATCCAATATTATACTGCTCCTTTGAGTACTTTATAGTTAGTAAATAAGCAGTTGATAAAATAGGGATAAAAACCTACTGCTCGCCTTTTCTTGAGCAAAATTGTAGCAACACTGCATCTGTACCTGAAAGCTTTTTGACATAGCCAGTTACGTTCTTCAGCAATGAAACTGCATGGTAAATGTCACGAAAATATGTGGAAACTTCTGCCACGTAACAACAATTATGACTCAATCAGTCGGGTAAACACCGCAGGGCTTGAATGTGCAACATTTTTTGTTTACTAAACACCTGCACAGGTCGCCTGGTGGGATGCAACCCGTCTCCAAACACTGACAGTCCAACTTGGACTGGAATCGCTCTTAGATTGGCAAAGATTTACAAATAACTGCTGTCTAATTTATAAATGCAGAGAGATTGCTGCTGCGGTGCCATCAGCCTGAGTCGCAAAACTCTCTTACAATATCATCACTTTCCAATATTGTACTCGACTTAACTGGCTGCCAGCTGGTTACGTTCCTATATAAAAGTAAGGTTGCCGAGCACCTATGGCTTTTTGCTGTTAAACTGCAGTCCTGCAGCAACTACGTCACTATTTGTGCAGGAACATCTGTTTCAAATCTATGAGGTTCTGACTGAACTCTGAATGAAAGTAGTTATTATGAATTTCTGTCCATGCAGAAAGCAAAAGATTTATGTTGTTTCACTGATTTCCTACACTTGGTTGTTGTATTATCGAAAACAGATTCTATGCATTTGCCACTTTAACCCCATTCAGTCAAAAACTGATAGCAGACCGACTCCACCTTATTGCTGTTTTATCGCCATCTTCATGCACCGGTCGATTCCACTGTGGTCTCTGTCTCTGAAGCACCCAGTACAAAGGCAACAAGATCGCAAGTTCATTGCACACACAGTCGTGCTCTGGCCTAAGCAGTTTAACATGGTTGCGTATTTCCCCAGTCGAGTGCTTATGTCACTTTTCCCCAACTTTAAAAAAGTTGATGTTCTCAATCAAAAACCTGCAGAACGTGGCGTTTCACGTAGATGTGGGCCATCTTACTTTCCACCTCACTTGTTTCCAACTTCCTGCTGCTAGCATGGGCTGCTCTCGGAAGGTCCTGCAGCCCAGGCTAGCAGCAGGTGGGTGACTGCAGGCTTAGACACAGTTAACTGAGGCACATTAACAATTTTTACTACATCACCCTGACGCTTCACTTACAAGAAAAGTCTCTTATTACTTCTCCCATCATCCTTTTAATCACTGAAGTTAATTATTTTATGTTGTTGGCTAGCTGTTAATAAATAAGTAATAAGTAGGTAAATAACGACAAGCTGGTGGTGTGGTGCTGGTAACAAAATGTTGCTCATCACCTACAGATATCTTCTTGCAGGGGCTCAGGTTGGTAAAGACTGAAAGAAGTTATTAGGGGACTGTAAAAATGGTCGAGTTACCAAAGTGACTACAGATGGCATTTTTAACAAATCAAATTTTGAGCTCTCCGGCTCAAATCTGAAAATTGTTCTTATGAAGCTACTTTTGGCAGAAAGTGGAATCACAACGTGCTTATGATGTCCCACGACAAGTGAAGTGTTGCTAATACAAAAAAAAAAAAAAAAAAAAAGCAGAACACATTCCTGGTGCGATTAGTTGCAAATCAAAGAGTGTGGAGGGTTACCACCTGCTGCAGCATGCTGCTCAGCTTTACAAAAATAAAAAATTAATACAATTAATTCACACTGCAGGCTTTTAACATCGCTTTTGCCCACTGTCTGATTAGCAAAATAATGAATTTAAAGAAGAAATAATCACATCTACAATAAAAAAGAAAACAGCTTATCTCTGACACAAGGATGCAGGATTTCTCTTCTAATGAAATATTTATTAATTTTCTTTTTTTTGTTTAGCAGTTCGAGCTAAATGATTGCATCAAGCTGCTTTGAAGCCACCGCGGCATTTGACTTGCAAATACCAGCAGGCGTTTTTGTAATTTAAGCCTGCAGCCGCAAACAAGACCATGATATAATCATTGTCTATTTCTGATGATGCACATAGACAAACACCACCGCAGAATTAAGCGACGGTGTGTGCTCCCAACCCCCCACCTTCCCCAACGTAATCAAGTTAAGTCAAAGAGTGGCGCAGCCAGGCCCACGCTAATAGCCAATCGGCCGCTGTCTTGAAAACTTCTCCAAGCCATGTGCCCTTGCTAAAGGAGACAAGACGGACATTCATCTCATCAGCACTGCAATTACTGGGATTAGAGGCATGCATGATTACAAACTATTGTGAAAAATAATTATATTTCATCAGGGTCGACTTCTTGCTTACCAATCCACGCTTGGTTGAGAGGACGGCGACGGGCAAGAGAAGACATTATCGCACCGGGACACAAAGCAGAGTTCACATTAGGTTGTGCAGTCAAATAAAGCCTGGTATGTAGTTGTGTGGCATGCCTATAATAAGCCTAAAACACGTCATAAAGTCAGTGGGAACAGCTGTTTAGGTTTTTTTTGAAGAAGACAAGCTTGAGACTGGAGGCTTGAATGTAAAGACATCATCTATTCTTATCTTTCCGGCTGTTCTCAAAGATCCTAAATCATCATTTACTGTATGAAGAGTTTTGATGTCGCCTGTGGATAAACACAAGATTCGCAAAGCATCAAATGGATGAAAAAAATAAATAAAAACAACAATAATGCACTTTTTTTTTATTGCTCAAAGTTAAATGAAGGAATTGATACCCTGACACGTCTGTTTTTGGCTACATTGGACAACATTAGTAGAGATACAGGCATGAAGTATGGGCTCATTATTAGGACACAGAGACCTACAGTTCCACCAGATGTACAATCCAGGGACCAGGGCTTCTCAAAGTTTTCATGAATGAGCACAAATGAGGGCAACAGAGGATTAAAAAACTTTACTGTTTGTAATCTCTCTGCTTCGAGGATGATGCTTGTATTTCTGAGTGACGGCTGGAGCCTACTTGTCCAAGAAGATGCTTCCTTGCTGTTGTTCAGAACTACAGTTCCTCTAACGGCCACTTGAGGCTGGCTACAAAAGTGGGTCAATCCTCACATACTTCACTAGTATGGCTAGTCGGAGCAAACATATTACATGTTAGATTTTAACCCTTTGTGGATCGTTTCATCCTTCCTTTTGGCTAATGGACGCTTTTTTGTAAGGTTGCTGCTGTGCTTTGGATCATTATCCTATTACATGACATAATTTGGCCAACATTTAGCTGTTGGACAGATGTCTCACATTTGACTGTAGAATACTTTGGTATACAGAGGAGTTCATGGTCGGTCAGCTTAATGACTGCAAGATACTCTGAGGCTGCAAAACAAGCCCAAATCATGACCCCTCCACCACTGTGCTGACAGCTGGTATGAGGTCTTTTTGTTGATATGGCACATTTATGAAGTCCTGTGATTTGTTGAGATGTAACTTTGCAAGCCTAAGCTGCACAGCCAAGTTCTTTTTTTTTTAGAGATAAGAGGCTTTTCCTGTTCAACTCTCCAAACAGGCCACACTTGTTCAGTCTTTTTTCTCATTTTACTGTCACGAACATTTCTTCGTTTTTTTGCACTTTCTCCAAGTATTACATGATCTGACCTTGGGCTTAATTTGCTGCGATGTCTGTTAGTAGGAATATTGTGGCATTGACTTAACACACAACAGAATTTATGCACTTTCAGAGGTGCTCACATTTGCAGATGAGAAAATAAAGTGAATTTGCTTAGCAGCACCTGGCTGTTGCTTAACTTCTTGATTTCTATGGAACCAGTGGCAGTGAACTTTCTTTCTTCTTCAACACTACATGTATGATTCATGACCGTGATAAAAACTGTGAATGAATTAAATGTACAGCGGAGGATTCTTGCGAATTACCAGGGACCGCCACTGGCCTGCAGGCCACACTTTGAGAACCGTGGCTTTGGCCTAACTTTCAGTCTTTATGCTAAGTTTGTTGGTTGTTAAAAGTAGCTTCATATTCAGAGAAGTGACATGACAGTGGTATCAATTTTCTTATTTAACTCTTGGAAAGAGCATAATAATGAGAGGGGGGGTCAATATTCCCATTATAGCAAAAAATAAAAAATGCTAGTGACAGGCACTTGACCTTTATGTTGAAAGGCCAAATGCTAAAATGGCCACACCTCCATGGCGAGTGGGTAGGCAGTGAACCAGTGGAGGAAGCAGAGCGCGAGGGTGATTACTTCCATTTTACAGCCTAACAGCACTGTAAAACCTGATGCTGCTGTGGCCGATTATACTATTTGTAATCACCGTTTCTGTGCAGCTCAAGGTCCAATCACGACCTCCTGCACAGCAGCAAGTGAAGCATCAAATACAAAGACTGAAAACACACCCAATAGACCTCAAACACATTCCAACATCTAGACAGGACATGCCCTGAATGGCACTCCCTTCCTAAAAAACAGATGCCTGCCTCTTCTTTTTCTTTTGTTAAGGAGAGGGAGCTCTCACAAACTATAAACTATTCCATGCAAAGTGAAAGAACATCTGCGTGGATGTCCTAGCCAAAAACAAAACTGAAAGCAAACATTTGTTAGAGTGAGTTTTCTTCTTACCTGTGTCTTTCTGTACTCGATCAGCTGTGACAGGCCAAACGCTGTGGCAACCGCCCCACCGCCTACAAGGGCCGTCCGTTTCAGAGCCCTCCTGAACGCCATCGGCCCTGCAGTGAAGGTACAGGGCAGGACAGAGACAGAGAGAGAGTAGAGACACCTGGGTTAGCAGGCTTTTGACATGCCAGGCATGCCAGTCTGTGAGGTAGTATGCAGATAAAGGGAAGGTGGGAGGGTCCAAATGCTGCAAGTCAGGATGAAAGAGACAAGTTTATTCGCCATGTGACATTTAAAGTATCGGAAAAAACAACTGGCAAAATTATCAATAAGGAAAATACTGTTAGCTAAACCTCCTGAATGGAAAAATCATTATGTGTATCCAGCAGAGCAGGATTAAATGGTAAATGTAATTGTATAGTGCTTTACTTGGTCCCTAAGGTCATTCACACACTGGTGATGGCAAGCTACATTGTAGCTACAGCCATCCTGGGGCGCACTGACAGAGGCGAGGCTGCCGGACACTGGTGCCACCAGGCCTTCTGACCACCCGTAGGCAACGGGTGAAGTGTCTTGCCCAAGGACACAACGACCAAGACTGTCGGAGCCAGGGCTCGAACCGGCAACCTTGCGATTACAGGACAAACTGCCAACTCTTGAGCTACGATCGCCCGTCAACACCATTCAGCACACTTTCATAAGTAACTGCTGCCCAGCAGGGCATTCAAACTGTGGAGGAAAACCAGGAGAGCTGTGAAAACTTCAAGTTTCAGGCGCTCTTCTGAGTCCTGTTAAACATGCAAACACAGACCTGATCCTAGGAAGTCGCTTAGGTTGATTTATCTTTGATGACAGCTTCTATGTTTGCTTATTTGCATTAAGTCTGCATGTCTTAGTGCGTCTCAGTGTTAGCCATTTCCTGTTTTATTTTGATAGTCTTGTGTACCTCGTATTGAGTTTTACCTTCCCTATTTTACCTGATGTAAGTTGTGTTCCCTGGTGTTTCCCATCTCCCTAGTTACCTGTTGCAGATTTATTTTCAGAGTCTCTCTCTGTTTTTTGTCGCGTCCTCCCCCACATGGAAGTGTGTTTTCACTGTCCAGCACTCTCTGACTTTTCCTCCAGGTAAGTTCCCTGTTAAGCATATTTTTGGCCTTTTGTTTTTAATGGACTGCTAGCAATAAAGCTGTGATTTTATCAAGTTCTGTCTCCTGAGTCTTGCATTGGGATCAACTTCTTGCTTTCCACACTGCTAAACCGTGGCAATAGCAGCTAAAACCTGTTTAACTTCAAACAAAGCTAAAGATTATAAGGTGAGATGTGACATGTAGGGTAAACGGACTGTTCTCTCTGCTGAGGTCAGGAAAGCGATTCCGCTCCCTGAAGACCAACACAGAGAGACTGAGGAGGAGCTTCTTCCCGCAGGCGATACGGTCTCTCAATCACACCACCACACAGTACTGACCCACACATATGGTTCTTACACACACACTGGACATTCTGGACATTGTTTTCACTTCATCACTTAATCACTTTAAGCATATTTGCACTGCACAAGACATAATGTGGATTGCACAACACTGGTCACTACATTCTTCATTTCCAGTTAATACTTGTACAGCTGCTGTTATTGTGTGTATATATATTTATTTATTTATATTTCTTCATACATTCTTATATAGTTCTATATTGTGTATTTTGTTGTACAGTTATTTTATTTTCAACTTTAATTTATATATTTTATCTTATTCTTTCCCAGTTAAATTTACCCTTCATTCTAATTTGTGTTGTACAGTTATTTCATTTTTTATATTTTATATTCTTATATTTTATTCCTTCCTAGTAAAATTTACACTTTTTAATTTTTCATATTTATTTCCTATCTTATTCATAGCCCTTTCCTTTTTTTTTCTTTAGGTCACGAGCAGTTGTCTAAGCATTTCACTGCATATCGTACTGTGTATGACTGTGTACGTGACAAATAAAAATTTGAACTTGAACTTGAAAAACATGTTCAATTCGATGTGGATCCTAATGCAACGGCTTATTTCTACAACAATATCAGCATTTTTCCTGACCACTCAAAAATGTTTTGGCATCCCACTAAAGGAAAACCACCAAATTTATTTATTAAGTTTAAATAACGAAGAAAAAAACACATATTTTTGGAATTTCTAGCTCAGATGAGAGAAGGCATAAAAACTTCAGAAGAAAAAGATCAGAAGACTTACATTAAATGGCCTTGGGGCAGGCCTCTTCATTAGCCTTACATCATAGCGGTTGCCTGGTGAGCTAAATAGGTGATCACTGTTATTTCTAACAAGTATGGATTTTAGTTACTCATATTTATAATATATTTATATGTATATGTGGAACAAAAAGGCTCACTCTCAACCAAGAAAACCCCTGAATGTGAATCCAAATTCCATGTCTACTGGAACATATCAGTAAATCGTTTAGATGTCCACAAACCTTTGGCCACTAAGTGTAATTCTACCTGTGTAAAAAGGGACTATAGAAGGAACAGTTTCATCATTAATCTACCCATCGATTACTGCCTAACATTACATGATCATCGGGTGTATAAAAGGGTATAAAAGGGTAGCAAATAGTAAGTGCTGATGTTTAACAAAGAAAAAAGCAGCAAATCTCAGCAAAGAAGAAGCAAAACTTTTTAGCATCAAATGCATAACATGCCAAAAAAACATAATTTCTTCAGCTCTCTGACAAAGGAAGTATAAAGTCTAACCAGGTTACATGCAGTAAATAACTACAATTAAAACTCATCTGGTCAGGTTTTACAGGTTACATCAGAGAAAATAATACTTGAAGAAAATGCAACTAAAATTGATCCCCAATGAATATGATGATGTTGACTCTTTAATATTCTGATAATGAGTCTGTGCCGTAACGAGCACGACGTGACACACATTGCTCTGCACGCCGGCCCACGAGCTTCAATTCCCATCAGGTGAGCCCCAGTAAAGTATTTGCATTCCTACTGTAACGTACGCCGAAAAACAAGTTTCCAGGGAGCGCAGTGCACCGCAGCAGATTCTAATGCATTTTAATAAAGCAGATGGCCCAAAGGTCAACAAGCAGTTTGCTGTAATTAATGACCTATTACATGTAGCATACCACTGTGGCAGCCAGACATTAGCCACACAAACGCTGTCTTTTATTATTTTTACTGCCAACTTTTGACCAAATTCTAAACTTTTCCTCTCAAAACAACAACTACAAATTAATAACAGTATCAACTTTTTTCACACCTATAAGTCAGGCTGAAGTTTGCCTTCTTCTGAATTTTGTTTGGGTGAATTAAAACATGTTCAAAAGACATCAAAAGCAAACAAACAGTCATTTTGCTTGAAGTGTCCAGTCCCAGTCTGCATTTTATCTTCTAGTAATTACACCACGATGTACCAAATAGGCATGGACTCTACAGGGCTTCAAGCAGTCTTTGAAAATAGATTTTAGTCGAAGTAAAGCTTCTGAACCTTCACGTCAAAATGAGCCAGCTGATGCGGTGTGGTATCTAAACAGCGCCTCCCTTTGAAAGTTTCCAAGCAAGCCTGGATGGAAAGAAGCCAAGGGACACACCCAGAGAGAGTACATCAGTAAATGCCATCTTAGTTGTTGACTGGGTTTAACTATTAATGGCGATCGTGGCTCAAGAGTTGGGAGTTCGCCTTGTAATCGGAAGGTTGCCGGTTCGAGCTCCAGCTTGGTCTCGGTCGTTGTGTCCTTGCGCAAGACACTTCACCTGTTGCCTACTGGTGGTGGTCAGACACCGGTGGCGCCAGTGTCCGGCAGCCTCGCCTCTGTCAGTACGCCCCAGGGTGGCTGTGGCTACAATGTAGCTTGCCATCACAAGTGTGTGAATGTGTGTGTGAATGGGTGGATGACTGGATGTGTAAAGCGCTTTGGGGTCCTTAGGGACTAGTAAAGCGCTATACAAATACAGGCCATTTACCATTTATTAGCAATTACCCAACAGCCAGATATCAATTAACAAAGCACGATTTCGCTATGTTAACTTTAACTAGGCTAAATTACGCAATCTGTGTGAAAACCTGCATTAAGACTAGGTGAGTCTGACAAATTTAGCTCAGTGTGCAATTTATTGCCTCCAAAAGTCCAGCAGGGGGCGACTTTCCTACTTTCAAAAACAAATCTGACAGCCCTGATACGTCTTCCTTGACCAATGGCCTCAGTAAGCACTATTCTAATATGTTTATGGTCCCAATCACAAGTTTAAATCATTACTTAAAAGAACATGATGCTAATTTTGAAGATTAAGGTCCCATTTGTGGTCCACATCACTGGTCCCCATAATGTGGACGCCAACAAAGTGACGATGAAAATAATTAGCCTGACGTTTCACAATGAGACCAGTCGCTCCATCGTTCCACTTTTTTTCTTTTTCCAAAAAGAAAAAAAATCACAGACAGGAATAAATTATACCAATTAACTAAAAACCCTCAAAGACAAGGTATTGCACCAGCTGTGTGGGGCAATCTGGCATTTTAAAACATGAGCACTAGCCCAGACTTTCACAATCGGTGCCTCCTTTAGTGCTGTGATGTCAAACTCAAAAAATCTATTACATAGCTATTTACTTTGGTGTAGCATGAATGGCCATGTGGGAGGTGTTTATCAGTTAAGATAAAGCTAAAACCTTTGAAATATAGTTAAAAGGCCAAAATGTACACCCTCATTCCTGCTTTTTGAAGTTGACCGGTTGGAGTCCAGGCCGATTCTGGCCCCCGGACCTCAGGTTTGACACCCCTGATTTTGTGAGTGAAGCAACTAGGACTCTTAAACTCTATGTTATTAACATGGCACACCATATTCATGCCACTACTGGTGTCTTCGTGTCACTGGGGAAAGTCACCAGCTTTCACTTAGAGCAGCCTGCAGGCTCATTATGAATCCGGAAGAGGAGGAGGGGGTGATTTTTATGAAGAAACACGTGAAATTTGTGGCTTTTTCTTTTAATTCAAAATGTCCTACTTGGGAGTGTTTGCTTTTAACAGCAGGTGGTGGTATACCGATGCAGGTACGCCGGGCCACACAAGAGGAAGTCGGTTTGATCTTTAACTGTTGTCCTGCCGTGGATCAAAATGTAAGCGATCAGTGTCAGTGTGGTCTCTGAGGGGGGAGATTACGATTGACCTTCGCCTTTCCGTTGTAAAAAAGAAGAAGAAAAAAAAGGCTACATACACTTCAAAGGGTGTGTGAAATATTTAGCCGTTCACGCGGGCTTAAATAGCCTAAAAAGACACGTAAATATGGCCCGTGTTTAGCTCCACGAACACGATAAAACTAAAGGGTAGTCTCTCAGCCCTATAGCGGCTAGCGAAGAAAAATTCGCAGATGTTCTGCTTTTTTTCCTTTATTGGGGTCGGGAAAGAAAAGAAAAACACGGGTTAGACAATCATTTAGAGCGGCTTTAAAATGTCCGAAAATCACCGGGTGACACAACAAACATTCCCACTTACAGGACTTGGTGCTTCGTGGCTGGATAAAAGTCGCTCGGGGCGATGCAGGGCGGCGACTGGGGGCATCGGTAGCTATCCAAACCGTAGCTTGAGTGAGCGCTTGACAGCTACAACCAGGAAGCCCGGCGGGCACGTCGAGCGACGTCGTGGAGAGCCAATCGGAGGGCGGAGCTCGGCTGAGAGCGTCCAATTGGGTTCGAGCGGAGGCGGTGCCACGTAAATTGATGTAAGGCAAAGGCAGGATTGCGCAACTCCGCTCTTTTCTTCATCCTCCTTGGGGATAATAACAACGAGCCAGCTGTCGTTTCCTCTGTTATTTAGGACAGAAGGCGTGCACATATAAGTAAACCAAGCACCCTGCAGATTAAAGCATGTGTAGTAGTATTCTTGTGTGTTTAAAAACTACATAAAAAGTGTGCTTTTATATACTTTTACACACGTTTACAACTAGATAAGTCCAATCTGAATCCCCCACTGCAGCCGTACATCTATTAAAACTACATTAAACTTAATTATAAACATAATTTACAAATTCACTGAGCCGCTTTCTAACCACACACACACACACACACATACTCACTCACACACTCACTCACACCACCCCTCTGTGGCCAGTGCGTGCGTAATGGGGCTTGGAGCGCGTAAGCACGTAAACAAAAGCACATTGTCGGTGCCACTGGCAGCCAGTCTGCAAAGCCAAAGAGTGGCTGAAGTGAACAGTCATTTCCATCGCTCCGTCCATACAGCCAGAGAGCTTCAGAAGATCCACGAGCAGCAACACAGTAGGGATGGGATTACTCACCAGCGTCCTCCCGCACTGGATCCACATCTAAGGTAGTGGAAATGTTACTCTTTTGAGTTTAAATGGGGGGACTGGGCTCGCTAACAAATTATCTGTTGTTTCTGTTTCGTGCCAGGAGACGTTTGGGGCACAATAGGAGGCTGTGGAAAATCAATTGTAAGGTGAGTTTGCTTGTTTCACCTTAAAAAAAATATTATAATTAAATATATCAACAAAAAAGCATTGACGGTGAATTCCAGCGACATTGCCTCACTAGAGCATCACTTTATCGCACTTTTAAACACGTTTCATCATCTGCGTGTGTTGTTGCAGTGATCATGCCGTGCGTCCAGACCCAGTGCGGCTCGTCGCCTCAAGGAGCCAGCCCAGCCTCCCAGAGCTCCGGCGGAGAGCGCAGCTGCGACTTCCTCACTCCGGAGTTTGTCAAGTTCAGCATGGATCTTACTAACAGTGAAGTGTCGGCTGGAGCCTCGGGCCCCACCTTCGGCCCCCTGGCGGACTCTTACGGCTCTGGGTACGACGTAAAGCCCCCGTGTCTGTTTCAGATGCAGGTCCAGGGGGAGCTGCCGTGCGTCAAGGTGGAGGATGCGCACGGGTGCCCGCGCTATCAGCCGAATCAGCACCCAGCGCACCAGTCAGACGAGCTCCTTTCTTCCCCGAGCCCCGTTTATTACTACCGCTCCCCCTCCCCGCACTCCTCCCTCACGCCCAACTTCCAGCTTCCGTCGGGACACATTTGGGAGGACTCCGGCTCCCTGTACAGCTTTCGGCAGGACTATTTGGCGGCGCACAGGAAAAACGCGCTGTCCAGGTTTTCCCTGCTGTCCCTAAAACACGCGCAACACGACGGCCAGAGTTTGTCCACGTGCCAGGTGAAGTTTGACGGAGCTCTGGCGCACCAGCAGCTGGAAACACCCACCGTTTTGGGCTCCACCGGCCTGGGCAAACAGAGCGGTGTTGGATTTGCTCACCCACTCCATCTCGCGCACGGCCACCACTTTATGGAATACCAGACTTCTTCTGCGCCCGGCCGAGGACCGCTGAGCTCAGAGGGGGTGTGCGCGGTATGCGGGGATAACGCAGCCTGCCAGCACTACGGAGTGCGCACCTGCGAGGGCTGCAAGGGGTTCTTCAAGGTTTGTTTTCAGTGAAGGCTTAATACAAATCTGCAGTTTTAAAGGAAACTCTGAAGATCTGAAAGTTGTTTTTTATGGATATTTACTCCCTTTTTTAGCACAAAAGTCTTCCAACATTTCTGTGAAAAATATGATGAAAAAATAACTACACACCCACGGGAATTATATCCCATAATGCAACTCTAATTCCAAGTAATTGGCTATAATATAAAGCTTCCCCCGGGGAGCTCTGACCGGCCTTCTAAATTGGACAATAGACTCCAGAGGCACGTTTTGTTCTCTTGGTCTCTTGACACGCGCGTTAAACGTCGCGAATGTCCTGTATGAAAATGGTCACCAACGTGCCGTGAATCAAAACCTTCTCCTTCGTCTTTCACTGGGAGATTCCCCGGGGCCAGTCTCCAAATTATGAATGACCACGACCCTCTATTTACCCAGACCTGCCTGTCCGACTGCTCAGCGCCTCAGATGGCCCACAGGAGCAAGAGTGCTGCTGATAATTTTGAAGGAACAATTTAACCCCTTTGTTAGGTTACTTTTACCTTTCTTATCTTTCTAAAATGGCTCAAAAGTATTTTTTTAACAATGAGCCCTCTGAGATGTATTGTCATGACAGTATGTTTATAAAAAAAAGTCCGCTATTACTATTGTTATGTCTCTTCTTGTTGTTTCTTTCATAGGGACCTTTTTTTTGTTCCTTTTTCTCATATTAGATCTTTTAAAAGATCCATATGGCTCCATATTTCAGACTAATCCACCAGCACACGTTTCTAGAGACCAAAATTGTGCTTTAATTTGAAAATTTTACAAGAAAATTTCCAAAAATCTCTTACTAGAAAAAGAAAAGGTACTGTGTAAAGTTTTTAGAGAACAGCAGCAAGTGGTAGATGTGTTTAGAGCACTGAAAGTTGTTTCAAGTTTTTAAGAAACACACCAACAAGTGAGATTTTTATTAACCAAAGAGTCCTTTAACCATCAGGTGTGTTTGCTGGATCAGGAAGAAGACTGATGTAAATTCGACCACACCTCAGCCCGAAAGCCATGAACCTATTAAAGTGCAGGATTGTATTTTTCAAAAGGTATATAGAGTAATATGCAGATTCTTCTTCTCTTTGTGCAGCGCACAGTGCAAAAAAATGCCAAGTATGTGTGCTTGGCTGCCAAAAGCTGCCCTGTGGACAAACGCAGAAGGAACCGATGCCAATATTGCCGTTTCCAGAAGTGCCTCGCAGTGGGAATGGTCAAAGAAGGTAAACTGATAGAGCCAAAAAGCTTCTTAAACCATTATTCTTGGTGCCGTTTAGGAGGTCAGAGCTGAAAAGTGTCGCCCTCTTCATCTTTTCCTCTGCAGTGGTGAGGACAGACAGCCTGAAAGGTCGAAGAGGTCGCTTGCCGTCCAAACCCAGAGCTCTTCCAGACGCCTCCTCACCTGGCAGCGCCCTCCTGAGCGCCCTCATCAGGGCGCATGTGGAGTCCAATCCTCCACCTTCTCGCCTGGACTACTCCAAAGTAAGTAGAACTGACACTGTTGATAAAAGACTAAGACATAGTAGAGTTATAATCATTTGTATCCTCCTTCATTCCAATCTGATCTGACCGGTGACCTTTAAATGCAGTTTAAAGAGAATCCAGGAAGTCCCCCAGGAGACGATGCTCAGCATGTCCGCCAGTTTTATGACCTCCTGACCAGATCGATAGAGGTTATTCGGGGTTGGGCGCAGAAGATCCCGGGTTTCACCTCTCTACCTAAACATGACCAAGACCTTCTCTTCTACTCTGCCTTCCTGGAACTTTTTGTTTTACGGTTGTCGTACAGGTAAATAACCTTTTACACATTTTATATAGAATTTATTTTCCTATTTACTTATTTATTTATTCACCTCTGCCCTCCAGCTTCACACGTTAACCACAGGCTGTTGTAACATTTCAGATCCAACCCAGAAGAAGGGAAACTGATCTTCTGTGACGGGTCAGTGTGGCACCGGCTCCAGTGTCTGCGGGGCTTTGGCGAATGGATTGACAGCATTGTTGAATTTTCTGCCAATCTGCAGAGGATGAACTTGGACGTCTCCACCTTCTCCTGTATATGCACCCTCGCCCTGGTCACCGGTGAGACGTCCAAGAACATTTTCCGCTTCATGCGATTTACAAAGCTTAAAGACATAACCGATAAATGCTACATTCAAGTGACCCTGGATTATCTATTTTGATAATATTCAACATGGGAGTGTTACCATTTACAATATTTTTTGTCATTAACACAGCTCCAGTTTAAAAAAAGAAAAATCAAAATAAAGATAAAAGAACAATATTGTATAATCAGTCACATTATTAAATCATGCCAGGATGTGAAGCTTTAATTTACTGAGGATAAACTTTCCTGAATGTGAACTACATGTTTAAGGGATGACAAGTAAGCTGGACTGATTGTTATTGATTTAGTTTCTCTGTCTTATCTCATGACTATTTTCCAGTCAATGGTACCTGCAGTACTGATTGACCAATTTTCTTGTAGCTCAACTAAGTAACTAAATAATAAAGAAAGATTAGATTTCAGTAAGAAAAAAAGACATCCTCTTGATGAGTCAGTGGTAACATCTGAACATGTGAAATGACAGATAACTGGATACGACTTTAGCAGAAATGTTTTAAATTATAATCAGCTGAAACACTTAAAACTAATAGAAAAAAATAGCTAAAACAATTCCTGTTATCTAAAATCACAGTTTTGCATTTTATCTTGCCAAGTTGAGGATTTAGGGTACTTACCCTGAATGTAATCCTAATCAAAAGCATTTTTTCTTCTGATCAAGTAAAAATGCGAAAAATATGCGAAACTTGGCAAAAGGTGTGCAATTTCACATAATTTGTGACATCATGTAGAATAATAAGTGCAATAATTAGTGTAACTGGTTTAAATAGTTATCTAAAAGTTCCAAGTAATTAGCCCAGATTAAAGGGTAATGGCTGGAAATAGTGAAAAAAACAACAAACAACAACAAAACAATAGTTTGTTTGACAACTTGTTGATAAAAGTTATGGATAAATTGTTAGTCATTTAATTATGGTTGAAATAGTTAGCAAATTATAATAACTAACTTTCTAGTTAAAATAGATAAATATCTTAAAAATGATTTAAAAGTAATGGATACGTTTCTATTAGCTAAATATGACTGCGAAAAAGTAAAGACAACAGCTAAAGTTAGCTAAAAGCAAAGACGTAATATTATATAGAATTTTTTAAAATAACAAAAATGGTAAAAACAAAAATTTGGGGGGAATAATTAGTTTAAGGTAATTTAATAGTGTAATTTGTTTTTTTAAAAAGTGGTTGAAATAAAGAAAACAGAATTGATAAAAGTAAATTGTTTAAATAGATTTGTTAGCAACAACCAGAGGCTCAAAAATGTTTAATTAAATTTATTGGATAAATGTTTGCTATAATTAGCTAAACTTATCAGCTAATTAACATTACAGACAGTAATGATTGGAAAAGCACTGACACTTCTACCTAAACAAAAATCTCTTTAGTCTACAATTTATTTGATAATGGTTGAAATGTGGTTCATATAATTAATAATAAAAAAAGTTAATATGGGATAAATAGTTTTTAAAATGTTATTAAAATTAATAGTTAGCATAATTAGCTAAACTGACTACTAAAAGGTTAGCTAAAAGTAATTGGGTAGAAAAACTAGTTAAAGCTAATTTGAAATAGTAAAAGAAAACTAGTTGAAATAGCTAAAAGTTTGAGACAAATGAGTTTGTTAGCTAAGTTGAGGCCCGATAAGTGGGCTTTAAAATTGAATAAATTATTAATATAATTAGTCAAACCTATTTGCTAACCAACAGTAACAGATAGTATGGCAAAATCTTAGCTAAACATAATGACTGGAAAAGTATTGAAAATTATACCCAAGCAAAACAATCTTAAATATGCGATTTATAAGATGAACTGAATGGTTGAAATTTGGTTGATAAAACTGAATTTTTAAAAGTTCACATTCTTTGTTATTTTAGAACAAAAGCCTTGAGATGAATGTAGCTACCAAAAGTCTGATTTACAAGTAGTAATTTTACTTAATGAAATTATTGTAGCACCAGTTAAAAGGTAATAAAAGAATTGAATATTTCCTGGTTAACTTTGTAAAGTTAGTTCATTTTTTATTTAATTCTCTACAGAGCGGCATGGACTGAAGGAGCCAAAGAAAGTTGAGGAGCTACAGAGCAGCGTGGTCAGGTGCTTGAAGGACGGTGGGACAAGCGCGGATGGAGGCTCGAGCTGTTGGTCCAATCATTTGTCCAGACTTTTGGAAAAGCTGCCGGAACTTCGCACTCTGTGCATCCAGGGCCTGCAGAGGATTTTCTACCTGAAGCTGGAGGATCTGGTGCCGCCACCAGCCATCATAGATAAGTTATTCCTCGACACGTTGCCATTTTAGAGACAAGAAAGGACACACACGGGGACGGTTTTCTGTGGTTTTCTCGCCGAGGACACTGTAAGACCCCTTTTGCTTTGTTCCCGATAATAATTGCTGACTATCTGGATGTTGTGTGCAAAAAAATAAGAAACAAAAACATTTTTAAAAAGTTATACCGAACCAGAAGATCACATTGGGATGAGAACAAGTGAAATGAGAAGCGGAAGCAATTTAATCCAAGAATTGTGACCACTTAATTTCTAAATATAACTTCACTGAAGCATGCTGATGACTTTGAAAAAAAGGATTAATTTCATTGCAAGACTGAAATAAGCTTTTCCTACCATTATTACTCTGTACAGCGTGATTTAATGAGCCCGTCAGGCCAAAATTATGGACTGCAAGTGACTCAGACGACTTTATTTTACGCTTTCTCCTGCTTCTCATTGTGTACAAAGGCATTTTGATACGAGACAAGGCGTCCCATCATGTTTATTAGTGATTAATAATATTCATTAACCTCTGTTGTCTTCTCAGAGTAAGATGTCATTGTCCACACTTTCATAAATAAAAGACTAAATGAAGTTACACTGGCTGGACTGCTGGGCCTTCTATCATTTATTTGAAACTATGGTTGGACATTTGATTTTTAATCGCAGGAAATGCAGAGTCCCTTTAAAAATGTTATACTGAATTTAATAACAATTCTAATTACAATATATAACATTTAATTCAACTTTCTAACACCTACTGTTGTAAAAACGCATTCTTAAAGAGATTCAATTATTTTATTTTGCTGTTAAATTTTAATTATTTTTCAAACTTATATGTAAGTTTGCATTTTTTAAATGTACTTATTGCATAGACCAAATTTATGTCACATTGTTTTTATGCAAAGGTCATTCTTTCTGTACGTGTTGGTTCGTATTAATGCGATTTTTTTTTTACTTATTATTTTTTATGCATGCAAAAATGCCATAAAGTACTCACCCATACGAACACATTATGGGTAGCTGGCTGCATTTGTGTGAAATGCTGCAACACAGTTTATTGAAAATTTGCATGATTCATGCAGGAAACAGTAAATATGGATGCTAACACCTGCCAGTAAGATGAAAAGAAGTAAAAGTAATATGAGCAGTGTTTCTCCTCTTTAGTTAATTTGCCAGTTTTTTCTGATAAGTAATGAGAAAAGCAAACTTTGGAGATCCATTAAAAAAATAAGCTATAAGAAACCGTATGTGTGCCTGTATATGAATGTAAAGGTCACACTGGCACTGTTTTTTCAAAGTTGGCAGAGTTTACACAGAATTTTCCAAGGCATGACTGTGTGTGTGTGTGTGTGTGTGTGTGTGTGTGTGTGTGTGTGTGTGTGTGTGTGTGTGTGTGTGTGTGTTTTCTGGCCGTCGGCTGCCTGACATTTCTGCAGCCCTTTGGTTAGATGTGGCATTAAAGAAGTCAGTTTCTGCTGCCGTTAGCAAAGATAAAGGCCCAGGATTCAGCATCTACACCAAGAAAGGCCAAACAGAGCAAATAAATGGAGGCGCCGGTGCTGAATATATCCTACGACCTCATGTTGCTCCTGTCCATATGATTAAAATCTCTTCTAAAACATCAGATTTTAAAAGACTTCAGTGAAAAGCCAAATCCTTTAAACAGCAGCCTAAACATTTTTAGTCATACATATGTAAATATTTCAAGCTATTCCAGCTGATTTGTACTCTGCAGCTGGTGACATGTGTTCTCTTCTATCTGGCTGAAAACATTGATTTCATGACTTGAAAAAAAGGTCTTATAGGATGATGTTCCCAAGGAGGTTTTAATAGGCCTGCAGGTCGATATCTGGGGCCGTTCGGGTGCCCCGGCGTGGCGAGCTGAGATAGAGATAAATCGATAACGGTATCTGAGAAACATCCAATTTATTCTGATGATGATGGTGACTGACAGGTGCAGAAAGCGAGTGCAATACAATAACTGATATTTAACAGCCAAACAGTGCTAGTTAGCACCTTTATAAATATGGACATTGAATTAAGGTCACAGACAGGAATGTTTTACAAAAATTAGCCTATAGGAAATCTATTGATCCACAAAGTCATGCTAGAGCATCATCGCATACATAGTATATGTCAGTGCCAAGTCCCTGCAGTACTGTAATACACTGCATAACCAAAGTATTTAGACACCCCCATCTGGAGCTTTAAGGAAACTTGTGCAGCGGTTACCACTGGATCCCAGCCTCGAAGAAGATGTTGGCTTGAGTTTGAAATCATTTGCTATTCATATTGCTAATAACCAAAGAGCAAAACTACAGAGCGCAAGAAAAAGAAATTAAAAGTTCTTTCATACATGGTCTACACAAAGATCAAGCAGCAGACAGTGAACCCAGGCTGTAGCTCATTGCAAAAAAGCACTTTTAATGTCCCATAACTGATATCAGGTAGGGCTGGGCGATATGACCCAAAATTCATATCTCGATATTTTTTAGCTGGATGGCGATATAAGATATATATCTCGATATATTTTTTTAAAGTCATAAAGTAAGAACAAAAAGAGAGTTCTTAGTCAAAGCTGTGTCCCAGATGTCACACAGGCACTTTTATTAACATAGAGCAGATGTACATAAAATTTACTCAAAAATAAATTATGAGCATTTATTAAATAATAATGCTCCATAAATAAAAGAAAATGTTGTTTTTGTGCATAACAAAAAGCTCACAATTGTGCAGTCAAAATGTAAACTAACAGACGCTGAGCATAATAACAAAGAGACAGATTTCACAGCTGCACCACGTCTCTGAACAGGTGCCATTTGTGGTCCTTATAAACACACAGTACGGTAATATTACGTTGAAGCACAGTACGTATCACTCCGCGAGGCTCAGCCGTAATGCTCCGACAATCCATCAAGCGGTGCAGCTCCGTAGCTTACCAAAGTCGTACTAAAACATTTTTTGACAGATTGCTGAGCGCCGTGTTCCACATAAAATCGGTTCGCGGTCAGTAAGCACAACCAGAATTCATACATAAGGCGTGCTGTCAACTTTTGAGAAAATGAAAGGATTTTAGGCTGTGCAGCCTCTGTGGGCTGCATGGCGTTAGCGTGGTTAGCTCGTTAGCGTGGTTAGCTAGCTAACACATTGACGCCGTCCAGCCCCACGCACGGGGCGATGCGCAGTAACTCGTTATCGTAGATTTGCCGTGTCCATCTTGTCGCTTCCTGCAGGTGAAGCGATGGGGGAGGAGGGGGAGTTGTGTTCAGTGAAGGAGAGGCGAGGCCGAGTAAAGTTGCGTAAAGACGAAAGTGGACGAAAGAGAGGCAAACTTGCGGCTCCACAAGTATAATTATAACGTAACATAGACTATATCGATATAAAGGATATTGTCACATCTTATATCTCGTATAAAAATATATCGATATTTTTTAAAAACTCGATATATCGCCCAGCTCTAATATCAGGTGTAAGAACAACATGTAAAAGCACCTTTCATGTTGCATTTATGGATATTTAGCTCACAAAGGCCTCAAAGACTCCAAAATTCACTGTGTGTCAGTTAAATTAAATACAAAATATGGAGTACAAAAATAGGAACAAATGTTGAAGTAACCGGTACCCAATGATTTACTAATATAACATCTCCTAGTTGGTTCTTCTTTAATTCATCACTATCACTACAATAGTCCTGGAGTGATTAAGAGAAACAATGTGAACAATGGATCAACTACTTCACATTTTTATGTGATGTGTTAGCTTTGATGTACCCTCACTTTTAGCTAATGTTGTAGTCCTGTGTTTTATGGTGCGCTGACATGAGCAGCTAAAGGAGAGGATGCTCCAGGAAATTCATCGATAATTCACAGTTGCAGCTTGAAATGTACAAACTGAATTCCCCCAAAAAGTTGGTACGCTGTGTGATGCGGTGATTAAAAAAACGTATAAACTCATATTTTATTTGCAGTAGAACAAAGAAAACATATTAAATGTATAAACTAAGACAGTTTAATATTTTAATGAAAGGTTTAACTCGTACATTTGATTAAGTAAAACAGTAAAAGGTTGGAAAAGTAAGTGCTACCTAAAAAGAACGAACATCTTGCAGACAATCAGGTTCATTGGCAGCAGGTCAGCAACGTGATTGGGTATTAAAAAAAACAAAAAAACCCGCAGTATTTTAAATAAATCACCAAAAAAACACAAATTCTGGAACAATTTCAGAATAATGTCCTGTATGTATAGACTTTTGAATATCTCATCATCTACAGTCCATAATGTCATCAAAAGATTCAGAAAATCTGGAGGAATCTCTGTGCGCAAAGCACAAGGCTGAAAATCAGTACTGGATTGGGATCTTCAGGCCCTCATACAGCATTGCATCAAAAACAGTCACATTTCTGTTGTGGACATCAGTGAAAGAGCTCAAAAACACAAAAATAAAACTCATAAAAACTTGTATTATGCAAAGATGTGTTACAGACGCTTGTCAAAAGAAGAGGGGTTGCTGCACAGTGCAAAACATCTGGTTTGTATCATTCTACAAGTAATCATTTGTTTTATTTTACTCCTTTCCATTTCCACTTCCCGTTTCCTCCTGCCTTCTGTATGTCCCTGTCTGTCACTTACTTTTTGCCAGCATTACCCTGGGAATACACTGGATTTAATGTCACGTTCCCATCACTGTTTTGTTCCATCCTTTGCACAGCTTCAAATCCCACTGGGAGCATTTCAGAAACAGAGCCTTTAGTTTGTGTGGGGTCTTTTATTTTGAAAATTCCCTGGATTCCCTGTGTACTGCTTGTATCTGACTTCCTGCCCTCTTCACCTGCTCTGTGCAGCCTCCTAAAAAAATAGACCTGGCACCATGGGGATGCTTATAAAATACACAAGGAAGCATTGTGTTGAGTTGGCGCGATCAGCTTCAGTGGCACGTCAGAGCCATCGAAGGTTAGTTTTCCCTCATTGTGGTTTTTACTTCCTGTCTTTGTTAATTTCCCCCCGATTTTGTGATTGTCTGGCCCCACTGCCCCCCACCTGTAACTCCTCTGTGGTCATTTCCTGTGCTTCTCTGACTGTGTTGTTCCTAGCCTTCTTTGTGCTCCTTTTAGATTTTTGTATTATTGCTTCATATTTTCAACCCGCCAGTTTTTGTGCACTGCTTTTTGTTGTTTGTAAGTTCTATTAAATATTTCTTTTCTTGGTTTAACTTCATCTTGATTCATTCATCCAAAGCCCAATCCTCTATGACGCCAAGTTGTAGCTGTTCCATCCCAAATTGGAAAACCCACATCTTTATGGAGCTCACTGTGTCCTCCATCAAGAAGAACCATTTCACTTGGAAAACAAATACTGCAAAGAAATAATTAAAAGCCATGGCATTCATGCCCATGATGAGTAGATGTAAATGTTTGACCATAACTATACTTCCTGTGTATGGATCCACCAATGGGCTGCTTCAAAATCTTTTACCTTAGTACAGTGGGGCAAAAAAGTATTTAGTCAGCCACCGATTGTGCAAGTTCCCCCACCTAAAATGATGACAGAGGTCAGTAATTTGCACCAGAGGTAC